GGCCCGGAGCCCGCCTGCCTGATGGATTCTTTGAGTTTACTCAAAGCTTTTCATCCAAAACCAAAATCGATTTCAATTCAAATAAGACCCCGTTCTGTTTTCCTTTTTCCAATTCTGTTTTATCTATAGCTATTCTAATATGGAGCTGCGTTGCAGTGCGCGGGCCCGGACCGCAATTTCCCTGGCTATATATTTCTTGCGGCTTTCTTCAAAGAAGCACGAAATATTTGCCGATGAGAAAATAGCTTTAAAAAACAAGACCATGCGGTTTCTGAAACTCAGACCAGGGCCCGGCTCCAGAATCCACCGCCGGCCTTCAGCCGGTGCCGCACCACTAATACTCTGGACGCGAGCCATATTACCTCGGGTGCAATTTCCTACCCTGTCTAGCCAGCAACACCAACACCAGACACCGAAGCACAAAAATCAAAAGCAAATCAAGAGCAAAAGCAAAACAAAACAAAACAAAAGTCAAAAACAAAAACAAAAACAGAGCCAAGAACAAAAACAAAACCAATCCTAAACCAATCCCTAAACCTATCCCAAAACCTATCCCAAAACCAAAACAAAACCAATCCCTAAACCAATCCCAATCCCAAAACAAAACCAAAATCAACACCAACAGCCGTTTGCCGTGCGTGGCTGGAAATGTCCCACCCTGCCAGAGGCCCCAGTGTCACGTGGTATCCGCCATGTCGTCATCCCTCACGTGGCAAGGGAAAAAGCTTCCGTACAGGGAGAGTTTTTCCCTTCTCTTTTTTTCCTCAAGGGTTTTTAGAGGATAGTAGTATTCTAAGGATCCGAAGTGCCGTACATACTTGAATCGAGAAATCTGATATTGGCCGCGGCCTGCACACAGCACCGCGCCACCGGCCCCCGTCACCTCAACTCCACCAGGCCTCCTCTTACTCCATCTTTTTCACCACCCAGCATCCCCACACAAACCCCCTCCAAACCTCCGCACCATGTACCAGTTCGAGTCCGACGTGCCCAACGTCCCGGACCACACGTTGGCGCACAAGCAGTTCCTCATGCAGCACGTGGGCGCGGCGCAGCGCCAGGCGTTAGCCGCCGAGATCCTAGCCGCCGTCAAGACCCACCAAATGGCGCCGTACTACCAGCACTTGGCCGCGGAAATGCCGGCGGACTTCCCGCTCGACGACGCGCTCTACCGCGAACTCGCGGCGCACAACGCGGCGCGCATCGCCGAGCTAGAGCTGACGATCCAGCAGGCGCAGGCCGACGACGAGTCGGAGATCGACGTGGTGGCCGAGACGGGCAAGCTCGCGCAGTACTGCGCCACGATCCTCGACCGCAAGCGTGCGGCGCAGACGCACGAGGCGTTGCTCGCGTTGACGCCCGGCACGGGGCCCAAGATCGACGTGTTGTTGACCATGGCCCGCATGGACTTCTTCTTCCACGACTTGCGCGGCGTGGCGCGCCACCTCGCGGAGGCGCAGGCGTGGATCGACAAGGGCGGCGACTGGGAGCGCCGCAACCGCTACAAGACGTACCAGGGCGTGTACCACTTGGCCACGCGCAACTTTGCCGAGGCCGCCGCGTTGCTTCTCGACAGCTTGGCCACGTTCACGTCCACGGAGTTGTGCTCGTACGAGGAGGTGGCGCAGTACGCGGTGGTGGCGGGCTTGCTCACGTTGGGCCGTGTGGACGTCAAGCTGAAGATCGTGGACTCGCCGGAGATCTTGGCCATCCGCTCCAGCGCGCCCGGCTTGGAGCCCTTGGTGTGCTTGACCAACACCTTGTACACGTGCCAGTACGGCGCCTTCTTGCAGCACTTGTTGGCCACGCACGACCGCGTGCTCGCCACCAACAGGTACCTCTGTGCGCACGCGGGCTTCTTCATGCGCGAGATGCGCTGCAAGGCCTACGCGCAGATGTTGGACAGCTACAAGTCCTTGTCCTTGCCCTCGATGGCGCGCAGGTTCGGCGTCAGCGAGCTGTTCTTGGACGCGGACTTGTGCCGCTTCATCCCGTCCGGCAAGTTGAACTGCACCATCGACAGGGTCAACGGCATCATCGAGACCAACCGGCCCGACAACAAGAACAGCCAGTTCCACCAGTTGATCAAGCTGGGCGACGGCTTGTTGACCAAGTTGCAGAAGTACGGCGCTGCCGTCAAGTTGAGCGGCGCAGAGAGGGTCTAGCCCGCCTTGTCTTTCTGCCCGGGTCTGGCTGTGTGTTTCCGCCCGGCTCCGGCTGCGTGTTTCTGCCCGGCTCCGGCTGCGTGGTTGAGGACGCAACTGACTGCAGCTGGCTGGCTGACTTGCCGTGGAACGCCCGCGCCCTTCGTGCCTTGCACAGACGAGGTGGGAATCTCGCAGCTGCCCGCCTCGAATGGCATCGACCGTCCCACCAAGTATATAAGATATCAAGTTAGCACACTGCTTATCGGGCGCCTGAGAAGGCCAGGGGGCTCGGCCCGACTCCCCGCCCATGCCGCCGCCGGTGCTCTAATCAACCAATACTCACCTTCATGAACTCTCAACGCCGAAAGAGCGTATGCGTCTTTTCTCATGTCAAAATGCGTGATTCCGCGGACCTTCTAAAACACACTGCCTTTACAAGTACAGATCTTGACGCACTGTCCTCCGGGAAAAAGCGCAAGACCCGACAATTGGATTTTAATCTGTAAAAGATTTGATATCTGCCAACTTTCCGGCAAAAGAAACCGCGGGGCTTCTTGCAAGGGTGTGCATACCCGGAGTTGGAATGTGCCTTAGAAAGGTGAATTGGCGCCATTAGTCATAGAAATATATTGCTCACAGACACTCAGTGTGCATTCGAGGCGTGTGTTTCTTCCCACATGTCACTCTTATTTTGCCTCAAGTTATTCTAAGCTTTCCAAAAATATCGAAGAAGCCACCACTGGCGTCCTATGGATGGGCTGAAATGTCCAAAAGATGAAAAGAAAATTGACAAGGAAGAAATCGGTGCTCTCATGCTCCGGCGACTCGCCTACAACCCAAATATCTGACAGTGTGGATGTAGGTCCGTCTCCATGAAAACATGCTTTAGTTTTAAATTCTCAGGTGTTTTATTAGGTAATAGTGCCAGAGGGATATGAACTATAGGAATGTGGTTTGGCGGCGAATGTAAGCAGAGTATGGGTACCATGGGGCCAAACTCTGGTTCTGAAATTCGTTCTTATTCTGATTGCTGAGCTCCGGGCTACAAAGGGACTACTGATTTCAAACTCAACATTGGGTCATCAGGCGTATCTGTTCTTGCAAGCCGAGAAGCCTCAGAGACCCACAGTAGTACGTGCTCTCCAAAACCTGTCTTAATTTTTCACACAAGAAGAAAGGATCTGTTTTTAGTAGAGTTCCAGATAAACAATATACATAATTATCAAGATTCATGATTTTTCATGCGTGGAGATAAGATGGGGCAGCTTATTTTCATTTTCAACCAACTGTTGGCCTCACCCTTCCAGGTTTACCTGCTTCTGCCTCCCCTTTTTCTTTCTTAATCTCTTAAATCCTTTTCTGTCGTCTATTTCACTGAAATACCAAGAATCAAACGTAGCTGGGGTTCTACGAGTTTACGTTTTACAGTTAAGGGGAAGCACAACTACTCCTGGAAACAATGTATCGGGCAGAGAATTTGCTTAACCAAGATCTGAGGGCTTTAAGATGGTCATTAATTTGCAAAACTACACGTAAAATCCTGCTGTTCAAAAAAGGACAGGATCGTCTGAAGGGGGTACCCAGGATACTTGCAGCAGAGTATCTAGATGTATGTGTTCATGAGTGATAACTCGCTTGCCATTCTCACGAAAGGGGTTTCAAAAATTTAACCTGACATTCTTTAGTCGTGAGTCAGTGAGCTGTTTGTGAGGTAGCAAAGAGTCTTTCTTTTGGGTTCTGATAGAGAAATGGTTTAAGAAAGATAGCTATACCGAAACAGAAGTATCGTGAAGAGTGTGACCTACCGGGGACTATTGTTTGGCCATGTAATTCGTGATGACCATAATTATGGTAGCTCAGACAGCTTAGCTAATCTCAAGAAACAATTTACCCTATTATTATCCGCAATCATGAGCCCAGAGCCATGTTTTAATTACAGTGAAAAGCCTTTGGAAGAGTGGGCCAGGCGGGCGCAGCAATATGAGCCTTTTCGAAGATCAGTGAAGGTTTTAGGCCCTGGGTATCTAATAATCATGTTTGGCTCTATTCAATTACACCCGCGATTTCTAGCTCTTTCGTGTTAACAATCAATTATAGCGACGTCTCGGGCACTATCACAATGGTTTCCACCCCTCCGCTTACTCATGCTGCCAGTCATTAAAGTGTCAAATTTAGTAAATTGCGGGAGTCAACACCAACACTCAATACACGTATGATTATGTGTCTATGACAGCCAACAGAGTGTACTTTAGATGGTCGGGTACATTATGATGATCGGGTTCATTAGGATGATCGGGTACATTATACAGCACTGAACCAGATTTGGACTCGCTCAGGTCAAGAACCACACTACAGCAGCCAATCCATTAGACCATTCCCATAAAGCTTACAACATTGAAGCTTGTTTCGTGTATGAGCTGTAAATTACTAAGACTATGCCAGGAACCAGAATCCAACAAGCCAATATGTCGTCCATGACCTCCGGTGACTGGCTGCGAAATGTACTATGCAATATGCCCTCACATCGTATTCCTTGCCCCAAAACGGAAATCCAGCAGTAGAAATATATTGCGCCACCAACAGATTGCTTATTCGACTGATTTGTAAAGTACTCAGTAAATCTCGTGGTCACATTCTTCACCACCGGGCTGTTGCTCCCCTCCCCGCCATTGCTAATAAAACATTAAACAGATGATACCGGGCGCTACATGCTTCCTGTTCTGGTATTTAAAATTTGATCAAAGCCCTTATCTGAGCTGAGCTCTAATGATAGACAATTTTAGCAGCTGTCACTAATTGCACCATGTCGCTTCTCTGTCGCCATAAGCCTTTTTCGTTTTCGGAACATCTCACCAGGCCCAGTACCTCGTAGACTGCATGTTCAGTCTCGGCAACTGCACGCTGCGTGTCGAGACCTGCACCCTGGTATTTTGACTCGTCATACTGCACAATATGTGACCATGCGCCAGGTACCTGTCCCCTATCGTGTGTCCTCTATGTAACACCCCCGCTTGTCGCGCCACTCACACTAGCTGACCTCCACAAGCTTAGCACTCTAACTACAAACCCGGACCCTATCCCATACACCATCCACAAATATACACCAATGAGCGCCAAAAGAAGAATTGAAAAAGATGTCATGGATCTTATGATGAGTGATTTTGATGTGAGTCTCATCGACGACTCCATGCAGCAGTTCCATGTGATCTTTCACGGCCCCAGCGACACGCCATATGCTGGCGGCGTCTGGAAGTTGCGGGTGGAGTTGCCCGATCAGTATCCCATCAAACTGCCGCTGATTGGCTTTGTAAACAAAATCTACCATCCCAACATCGACGAGACCTCGGGCTCTGTGTGTCTAGATGTGATCAACCAGACGTGGTCGCCAATGTTCGGATTGCTAAATATCTTTGAGAACTTCTTGCCGCATCTTTTGCGGTACGGAAACCCGAGCGACCCCCTCAATACGGAGGCCCTGGGTCTCATGACGCAGAACGAGGAGAAATACATCGAAACAGTGAAGAAATACGTGCAACAGTACGCGCTGCAGAACCTTGTGACAGACGAGCTGATCGAGGCTGCGGTGGAAAACGACGATGGCGACTTGAGTGATGTAGGGAGCTTGTCTAGTGACGAGGACGAGGAAGTATAGACGAAGAGCAGAAATGCGGGCCAGTGTGCGTTCCTTGGAACTTTGCTGGGAACGTGGCTGCGGCTGACTATTCTAGACGGCTAGATTTCATGGAACCAAAATTCCGAAACACGTAGAGATAGGCTGGCTCTTATCCTCCTTTTTCGGGACTACAGAATGGGCCGTATTGTGGAGCACTGGAAATGGTGTGTAAAAAGATAACCTTCATATCTCGTGTTGTTTGGCGTGATACTGTAGGTCGATAATGAATTAGAACATGTATCTCAGAGATCATGCGCGATCCAGTGGACCCTGTTTGAAGTGGCGAGCGGTTCACTGCCACATATCGGAATCCTAGCCTTTTCTTGTGAATTGGCTTTTGTATACAGATTGTTGGCGGAAGCCCACGCTGATTGCGGAGCAGTCCATTCTGTAGGAGGCTTTTGATGGTACTGTTTCCAAAGACTGGTCTGACTTCGGCTTATAGTTTCGGTTGAAAGCCGCTTCGGATAAGTGATAGCTGTATGTACATTGCAAATTCCGCGTGATACAACTTCAAACACCTTCTGGGTTATTTAATAAAACTGCTGAAGCAAGTAGGGTATTCTAGATCGTTTCTTTGAAATTCACGCGACTAGATGAATGTATGAGCCATCATTCTCTATGCAATCAAAGGTAATTGGAGCTAAATGAGAGTATATTCCTGCACACTTCTCCTCAATTCTTTTCATAGATGAATAAGTTATGACATGTAGATTACCAAATGGTACTCGCTCTGCATAGCATGACTTATTCTTTTCGGTCTGCTTAGTGCCGATGTCCTCGACTGTCTCTTATATAGGTTCCTCAAACACACATACAGGAATTCGATACATATCATAACAACTTTCGAGTGATCCACAGTGCATTAGAGCACATGAATGGGGTTTGCCTAGAATAACTCTTTTGGCTTGGAATATAGAGTACTGTCAGAATATGTTTGCCAAATTCCTGGGGTAACACAGTAAGCACGTACAGGGGATTCTCCCCGCTATATTTAATCACAAATGACACTGGATCGTCAAATTGTATTTGAGTACAGATCCAAGCTTTTTTCTTGGAGAATAACTTCTGGTACTTTGGTCTCTTAGTGGAATGGGGTTTCGGGATTGGCAGGTGACTTATGTGATTAGTAAGTGACTTGATAAGAGTATCGTTTTTTTTGTTGGATTTATCTGATGAAAGGAGCAAAGCTATTTAAATAATATATATGTATCTTCTTTAAACAGGTCTTAGCGACGAAACAAGTATTGAGACTCAGCGTGTATTTGCTGAGGACGAGTTTCGTTTATCTGCTATTTCTCTCAACAAAACAGAAAATAAGATAATCCTCAAATGCAGACCACCCACAAAGTAGCTATTGTGTTGGCTTTAGCTTCGTGTAGTGCTTTCAGAGTGGGCTCTTTACTTATTTAGTCAGGAAGTAATATGATTGATTTATGATTAACTGAGACTCAAAAAACAAAAAGATTGCAGCACCACAATTTCGCATATGGTCTCCCACTACACTACTCAGTGTGGCCCTATGCAGCTTAACTAACGTTGATCGGACGGGAAACAGTGCTTCCTGCATGGTATGGCCGCAACCAAACATGTTAATGTATATAACTAAAATTTCAATTCATTTTTTTTGAAATGAGATAGGTTAGTCTTGACTGGTAAGGAGTAAACCTACGTCATATCCAACCTAAGATGATTTTTACTAAAAGTTCCATTCAGGCCGATTTTTGACGCTTGGGGACTGTCCAGGCCGTGACTAACGGAAGGGGACGGGCCGAGCTAAGACACTTGGTACGTAGCTGGGAGCTGTTTAAAGGTTTTTATATATATTCGTTATATAGTTTTGCCCCTTTAAGCAGATGAATCTACCAAAAAAAAAAAAGCTTGGTACGTAGCTGGGAGCTGTTTAAATGGTTTTGTATATAGTATTTATATAGTTTTGCTCCTTAAAACAGATGCAACTACCAAAGGAAATAAAAAAAAAACCTGTAATAGATCGCAACATTGGCCCAGATGAGAAGGCGCGAGCATCGACTCACGAATTCTGCCAAGGAGGGTATGACTCCCTTCAAGAAGACGTCTGCCCATAACCAATGTCAATCACTTGAACAATATTAACTAGATGACATCGTCCCATCGGATAAGTTTTCCTGCAAGCCCGTGACCATAGTACATTTGAGTTAATTTGGGCTTTTTCATGTTAGCTGTATCACAAAAAGTACATCACGTGTCATGAAAGCATGCGTATAGATTTCGCAGCCACGACTTTGCTTTAAAATGGCTTTTCCCATATGGAATAGTAAACACTAAAATCTAGGTTGACCTCTGCTAACTTTCATTTTGTCTCTGCGGCCTTCTTTGTGATTCTGAATAGCGATGATCGTCTCTGGCTTTTTCTATTTATGATTTGACAATCAGCCAATGGGTTTCTTATGAAAACTGAGACAGAATTAATTGACAACCCTGGAGAGATTCACTGCTGAAATCCAAAACTGTAATAAAGAACCTTAAGTCTCTGATAAAGAGCATATTGTTCCTCTTCCTGTTGCAGAGTTATAGACTGATATAAATCTGAGTGGCCGATACACAGTGGAAAGCGCAGGAAGTCTCAGAAAAGTCCGAGAAAAGTCCGAATCAACACCATTGTGGTAAAAGCCACAGAATCAATACTGATGGACCAAGAGCATGTAGGAGTACAGAAGAAGAATTTTTATACTTGTTGTCTTAGAGATATTTCAACATTTGGCCTAAACTGGCTAAAAAAAACTAGGATTTTTGATCGAGAAATTGGGTGAAGAAAGCCAACACATATTTTCTGTCAGAATTAATTACCAAGACGCCCATCGGAAACAGGGCTGATGACACAAAAAAGAAAACCTGTAACAATTACCAAACTTGCGGAGAAAAGAATAGAAAAGTAAGACATAAAGAACAAAACTAAATGCTATGTTAATGCAATGAACCACCCAAAACAGAACTGTAGAGCTCTTACATTGTTGAATTCGATTACGAGTCCAGTTATGCATGCTGTGCAGATTAAAATTACCTAGATACTTCACTCCAAACATTTCTCCATTATATGCAGCCAATTGTTTTTTAAAAAGTAGGGTATGATCTATTTCAAAACCTCTTTTTTATATAATCTAGCTTCTCTTCAGGCCTCGATACAAATTAACGATATTATATAGGGAAGTGACTTCAAATCGGCGTCTTGTCAAAAGTCATGTGATCCCTAGTGAAGAAATGACGAAGAAAAGAAGCCACCCACAGTCACAGATTTAGTTTCATGCAAGCTTTCTAAAATTAGAGTCTTTCTACTTACTGAAATACTAGAAGACACATCTTTCAAATTGAATATTGGTTCTCACTGTTATGGAAATTGCATCAGTCATCCCATCGAGAAATCATTACTTCGCTACAATTTTTAATACTTGTAACTTGTGGTATCACCTAAAATAGGAACAAAAGTTCTTAGCCAACAAAAATGCAAACATTCTTTTTTTACAAAAGATTAGAGATATCCTTCATTCTTCTGCCTTGAAGCAAATTATGGGGCAAGTTATTATTAGATACCTTCCGCGGAGTTCTGCAGAAGATCTGAGATGACCGTATTTCATACCTAGAATCTTATAGACAGTGCAGGAATGTTTCTAAATGCACGCCCTGATCTAGGAATCTTTCTCAGAAGATTCAGAACACCACTCCTTGGTGATTTTACTACTTAGTCGTGTAGAGTACTAGCATAGGTAGGGCTTGTTCCTGGACATACGCATCATGCTAAGACAAAATATCAAGTATTCAATTCCCCTGTTTATATTTAGAGTCGACATGTCAAAAATAGATGGTCTTTACTGACACTCTATGGGGGTTAGACCTATCTCTGGGTCGCCTCACGTATATATTACATACGGGTCATACATGCACTGATCCGATGTACTACTACAGTCATATTAACATATATTTACCTAAAATTAAACAATTTCATTTCTCTCGAGAAGAAATATGTGCAGCACACATTGTAAGTATCTTTTTGAGACTACATTTACAACACGTAATCTTCTTGGTATGTCAGTAACTCGCGAAAGCCAGCCGCACTTTGCAGCCTTAGGCATGGTAGAACAAAGAAACACATATATAAGGTGACATCAAACTGACCTCAAAAATCCGCTCCAAACCACTTCCGGCTCCCACCATTCTTGCCCTCATCCAAGAATTTTTCATATCACACCGCTTTCTCTGGCTGCTTCACATACTTCTGTCAACGGCCTTAATCAATCGGTGAGAATCTTTCTCAGCTATCTCAAGTACCTTATCGAATCACGTTTTGGCCTGCACACCCAAAATTTTAAGACAAAAAGCCCACCGTCGACATTTGCAATGTCCTTGTGGCTCTCTAGACATCTCATAGCTCAAACCTTCATAAGCTCTTCTGGAAGCACGCCCACCCGTTTCCCCAGAAACATGGCTACTGGTTGGGCGAGTGCTTGCTTTGGCGATTTAAACAAAACTTCTTCGTCAGAAGTGGCAAACGAAGCCTCCAAAGAAGAAATGGAATTCTCATATTGGGTAGTGACTCTGGTAGGCTGTCTCGTGGCATTACCGCTGCTTTGCCAAGTCTAGCTCACGGAGTGGTGCATATTCCAAAGATATTCTGTATCCATGAAACTTGGAAGACCTCTATACCGCCGGAATGTTCAGCAATGACTATGCTCAAAAAATTACGCGCCTTCATTTCTTAATCCTGATGACAGGAAGGCAGGTAGTGGTGCTAGTTCTGCTTCCATCACTTGCAAGAGATATGCCCAGAATTCCTTCTTTTTGAATTTGATTGCTAAAAGGCTTAGGAGTTCACAAAACCATTCTTGGGTGTTTTGACGGAAAGCAATGAAGACCACGAGCACTCAAAGCCTATCGTCGAAGAACCCCATGGCGTCTCAACAGCATCTCATCGCTGATGGGTCATGGTCGTATTAGTCAGGATAATACTGGTTACACAAGCTATGTACAAAGTGGCAACATTACCCGTTTCTCTGTGTCATGGGGCGAATCTGCTGTTTTGACTGGTTTTATATTGGGGATAATGCAATAGATTTCAACTGGAACAAAATTACACAAAAAGAACAAGACTCTGAATACTACGAAAAGAAACTCATCAATGATATGTTCCACGACTTAATGTCACACAAAAGCACGGGGAGCTCTTTCTCAGCTTTGAAACCAGATGCGTACCAGACATTCCCAGCCATGGTCGGGAAAAACTCATACGCCTGGCATTCTTTGTAGGAGTCTTGTCAAATATATGGGAACCATGCGGGAATACTATCCCCAATGCGGAGACTCCACAATAGAGATATTTAGATCTTGATCTTCCAGAAACTGGCTTAGATGATTGGGACTTATCTGTTTCTATCGAAGAGTATATTCCCCCCTCTCTTGAGAAAGCTATATCGGCACAAAGTGTCAACTCACAATCTGACACCGGGACCAATACAAGTATTTCTTTGCACATTATTCCGACTGCCTTGAGCTGAATAAACAGAGCAATTGTACCCAGAAGCTCCGTGCCTGATGACGACTTGATGCAGCCTAGAGCCAATCCAGACATTGAGCACATATCGCTTGATTACGCAAACACAAAAAGTGTTATAGCTCATGAGAATTTGTTCGATATTGAAGACCGTGGCTTATATTATGCTAATGCTGTGCAAGAAAATCCAAGTAACTTTTCGTCTTTGATTCGTGCATTTGATTGGGAACAAGTTGACTCCACGGACTCTGCCACTTTGATATCTTCTGGCCTTCTATGGACGCCACTTGATTCTGAGGTTGATGACAGCTTCCTTTAAGTCAGCTCACCGGAGGTTCAATTAAAAAAAAGAGCCTAAACACAGTCTTTTTTGATTTCAAGGGAAACTCTGATGAGAGATCAGATCATTGCTTTGAGTACAAATCCACACTCCAGGAGGAAATTAATTTGGAAGCCGCGGAATATGCATACTTGAGCCTTAGAATTCTCGACTTGGAAGAAATCTCTTACGAAAATTTTGAGACTATAGATCATGTTTCATGGTATATTCTTATCCGGGCTTATTACTGGAACATGGTGAGTCCACAGTTTTGGAAGTGAACTCACAGTCCTACCAAAGTTCGACGCAAAGATCAAAGGAACCTGGCTTACTTGACGAGAGTCTTTCCTAGTACTTTTCTGATGGGGTACCAGATGAATAACATTCACGCGAGCATGTTCAGGCTATGTAATGGAGATATTCTTTGCGAATTATATAGTCATCTTGAGGTAAATAAATAACTTCAGCCATTAGTCCTACCCAAACGTAAATTATTCTGTACTCTGATTCATAAACTCGAAGTTCCTTTTTGAATATGAAGATTCAAGTGACGCGAAAAGATACTGTCACTTCGGGAAAAACCTTCAAAGAAGTTCATCCAAAAATGCGATCTCTTCACATGCGTCAGTGAGATTTGAAGCCACACAATCATACAGAGTTATTGTAATATTGGATTTGAACGAAAAAAAAAATTGATTTGAGTTTGTGTTTAATCTGTTAGATATAATATGTGATGGGCATGTACATGTCGCAACAAAAGATCTCAAATGAATTATTCAAACTATGCTGAAATTTAAAGACTCCCAGCCGAATTCCTGAGACAGTGCCGAGAAACAAAAGACGGATAAATTTTTCTGAGAAAATGAGAAAAACCGCAAAACTAAGAAACCAGATAATTGAAACTTGGTTGAAGTTTATCGTGATTGGAAACTTCTTCAAAATTGCGCAGCCAGCAAAAAGGTTATACAGTTTTGCCAAATTGAATATCTCCCATAGCCTATAACAGATCATTAGACTCTTAAAAATATCCGTACTTCAATCTCCAGGGTTCAATAAAAGTGATCTTATCAATTTCCTGCCGTAAACATATTGATTTAAAGAGTTCAAGTTTCAGAAAGTGATAATGTTTGACTTTTTAGAGAACAGCGCCTGGGCTAGCGATATTGTGTTTTCCGTGAGATCAAAATACATATATGTATGTCTCATAAACACATGGCCCAAGATCTGATAATCATTGAAGTAAGCAAGCCCTAAAATACAAAATCCATCTTTGGGCAAAATCAAGTCTGCGTATGGAATAGAAATATTGTTGTCATCAAAGCTGAACACCAAGTAAATGTCATCGGGCTGTTTACAGTCAACAAATCTGTAGCCAATTCCTTCCTCCTCCTTAATTGTAGCTTTGAAAATCATATCGAGGGCATACATCAATTCTTTTCCCACAAATCCGATTGAGGAACCAGAGTCAAAAGCATACGGCGATTCCACTGGTATCACTTTATCTCCTATAATGAGGCTGCTTAAATAAATGGCCAAATCGCTTGCTCCTCCATAAATAGGATACTCCTTCAACCTACCAGAGAATTTTGCTGTGTCTATTCCGCCAAAAACAATCGAACCAGATTCTCTATCAGGATTCAAATACAAAGAGTAACACGCTTTGGACGTAATTCCCGCCTTTTGTAATGTCCATGGAAGATTGTCGTATTCTGTCGTTGCAGATTCAAGGGATTTACTTCCTAGTCCCAAAATGCCTGGATCACTAGTGTTTGAAACCCCAAATTGAAAGTGTTTTAGTGAATGCCCGTCTAATCCAAACCGCAAAGTATCCATGAAAAATTTGCCCTCATACAGACTATTGTCGATATATTCAATTTCAAATAAAATACCCATGTCCTTTGAGGTAGTCGAGGTACAAAAATCGTACCCTGATGAGGGTACTCAGAGATCAGACGAGCCAGTATCAACCGCAACATAGTTTTGCTGGTAGTTTGATCCCACATACAAATTCATCATGAAGTAAGTATCTTGCCAATTTTGAATCCTCACATTTAATACATCTTTTTTCTATCTACGAGTTCTAATGTGCCACAGTTCCTGGGCACTCTTATCATCGGGTTTCTTCAAAACGCTGAATTCAAATTGCACCGGTTTAGATGCTTGTAACCCCTCAGACTTGCAAATTAAAAAACCAAGCACCAAAGTAGAGAAACAAAAAAAAGTTCGAAAACTAGACATGAAAATCCTGAATATGAAGAAAAGTAGGAACGTAAAAGATTTAACTTGAAGAACTGGTCCCTTGAAACCTCTACAGAATTGTGCATGGGTAAACACCGGCACGCGAAAACGTCATATTAATAATCTATGAGGGCTTGACAAGTCTTTGACGAGATTTAAACAAATTTTAATCGTTTTGAAAGAGTGAAATCCAAGTTTTGGATTCCTAAATATTAAAACAATAGGTATGTCACGAAAATAAGAGACAAAAATACTGCATCAGATTTAAGAAAGTAGAAAGTTCCGCTAAGAAACGAGTGTTAATGGCTTCCAACTTGTTTAAGCCAAGGAGACAGTTCTCGGGAATATGGACTCTATTTTATCATCTTCGGATTGGAGGGTGTGTAAAAGACTTCATGAGCAAAACAGCATGACCAGTTTGATGTGCACGAAAAAAGGCCAGGTGGCCTTCAGTCAGATATTGGAAAAGTGGGGAAATGACTGAGAATTTGTATTCCAACACCAGGATCTTAACACAAATAATCTCAATATCTAAAATGTTCATGTTTTCCTAATTTGTTTTAAGTTTTGGATTGAGTTGATAACAAAGTTTGACAACAGACGTGACAAATTTGAACTACAAACTATCATTCGAATACCCTGACGTAAAAGCATTGGAAGTATCAGAAAAACATGGACAGTTGGCTACAATTAGCACAATGAAGTCGGTGCCTTCTTGCCGATAATCATATCCCAGACCCAATTTATCTATCTGTAGGCCCTGGAAAATACCCGGTTCATTCTCATTAGAAATCGTCCCTACTTAGAAATCGATTGGCTCACCTATGGGCTCTACATAGCTAAAATAAGCCAATGTTTCAAAATTCATTGGCAAAATGAAGTTGCTATACGCGGGTAAGCCTTAATTTTATCGCATTAGTACGTAAGATGCATCTGTTTAGATTTATTCAGCAATGTGTTATATATGCATGTGCATACATATGTGGATATGGGATAGGCCAAGTATTTTTTGCCAGCGGGATTGCCAGCAAAAATATTTTGACACCGGATACATAGTGGCATACACGTGCAGAAGGTTTTTGTTTGCAAAATAGCACTCTTCGATTAGTTTTGAATTAATTTGGTGTTTTTAGCTGAAAATAAATTATCATCATTGCTCTCCAAGTCTCAAGCGGCGATTTTGAATGTTTTGCAAAACAGAAACGAATGTTCTATCACTTACTTAACCACACTTCACTCTCTTTATTTAAATAAAAACTTTGATTCCGGCGCTTTGACTTAATCGTGTAGCTCTACTGAATCTTTTTGGTTCAGCGTTTGCAGCAAGTAAAGGTAATGTGAAGCACAAATGGTACGTGGACCAACAGTCACGAACTCATCCCCGAAATCTAAAAATAGCTTCCAAATTGGTACTTGATGTCGAGACGTCCTGTGCCTTCCGTTTATCCCTGACCCGAAGGTGGACTCAAATTCAAGGGCAATCTTTACTAAAGTATGTATATTTGATGATAGCTAATTTCAAAGATTAAAGGAAAAGACACCTATTTTTTTCAAGCTTTGCATTAGCTGTGATATTAAAATATCTCGCTGTCATACTGAAACCTTTTAAATATTTCGCAGACTTTTTTTGAATGTTCGCAAAATTCTCAAGGAAATAATCACATACAGCTAGTTTAAAGAGAAACCAGTGGTTCTATTTTCTAGAAATTATTTTCTCGTGGGTTTTCTCTTATCTTGTTTTACGTATTTACTGTATTTGATACTAGGTCAGTACGACCGGATCAGCTACGGAAATCAGGTCTTTCCGAGGCCTTCTTCAAGACAAGGGAAAGCTTTTCAAACATAAAATTCAGGTGATATCCACGACCGTTTATGATCTGAGCAAAAGCCAAGGAAAAAAGAGAAAATATAGCAAAAACCTTCATGGAATGATTCTTTGTTTGAATTTTTTGGGAGAACATCTAAAAAATTAGAAAACCCATGTCTTTATATAGCCAGTGAAACCGTGGCAAAAAAGTAATACATTTTATTTTTATCAGACGGGCATAGTCCTCAACTGCAAGGCCGAGTCATTGATATAGTTAGGCACTTTTTTATAATCTCATGTAAGGGCGCGTCTGTTGTATTCACTCTTATGAACTGATCATCTTGTTTTTTAAGTCATTGGGCTTTCAGAAATAGTTCGCCTGAATTGATGAGAAACACAATGGCCCATAATAATGGAGACTGAGATAAAGACTGTCAAAAAAAAGTCTATTTTGAGTATTCTGATGTTCTCGCATCAACTCTTCAGCTTAAGTCAATTAGAATAGCAAGGTTCATGGAAAGACTGAATTCTACTTTATAGAGTAGCGTCTGAAAGTCATAACGTGACAAACCCAAACTTTTGCTTTGTGTATCGTTTCTTATAGTGATGAATGAACGATTTTTTTATAATTTCAAAACAAAATCTGGTAGATACAAGAGCTGCCGTTATTAGCAGACGTCAAAATTTGATAAATGTTTCCCGCGCGTTTGTCTTTATTTTTTCCGGTTAGTTGGTCACCTGCGAGGCTTTCATTTAATCAACTACTGAAGAGAATTCGTTCTGAGACTCACTAAAGACCAGGATCCCTATGTTTCTCAAAAGAACATAAAATTCGGGTCTTAGTCTATCCTGTTTTTTCCAGACAATCTCACCACTGGTTCTGTCCTTACTTCCACAACTTCTGTGAGTAAAAGGCTTCAACTTTTGTTAAGAAAGACCGTCTACGTTATTGTTATTGGTATGCAACCTGCCTATAGTTTCAACGCTCGCCTAGTGCAAAGTAGACTTCAACAGAAACAAATAAACATAGGAAAAACATTTCAGATTTGGGTTTTATTTCACAGAGCTTAGAAACTTGAACCAGAGGAAACTTTTTAAGACTGCTACCTTTATGCCTTACTTTATGATTCGTGTATACCAAAAAAAGTCATGATTAGTTGGCTCTGACGGCTATTTCCTTGGTTGGGTCACAACATCACGAACTCCTCTTTTGAGTGAAATCATTCCTGCCGCGTATTTGGTTTAAACTTCCTAAATGATAAGAAGATGCAAAGAAAGAACGTAACCGCTGTTTCGATATTGTTAAGATAGATGACCCGATCACCAGTATGGTGGTTGGGTTACGTACTTTAAAGGCGAAGCCACTCTCGCAGTGGTCAGCTATATAAGACATGAAAAACTTTTCATGTCTCCATTGATCTACATCTGTTTTAACCTCTTAATCGATTCTTACGTTACAATAAGCTAAGTCCCACCGATGTGTTCCTCACCATAGTACTATTCATTCACATGTTTCCACCACCCTAGATGCTATACCAAGATATGCCCGGTATACTTATACTAGGACTGTCTACAACATTGATCAAGGCTCTGGACCCGCTTATTGTTTCAATGCAGGATAGACTTCAATAAATATATAAATTCTTACATATAGGAACAAGAAGCTAGCCGCGAAAATGCATATTTAACCGGAATTATATGACGAGGCGGTTCATTGGTTAGTATGTTGTACGCACCTGCTAGGTGGAAAGTAGACCATTCGCTAACTTTTTGCGCTAGTTAATTTTTCCATTTCTTTGATCACAAATATTTGTATTTGCATCGTATGAAGTCATCTTTTCTTCAATTTTGAACATTTATCAATGTTCAAACAAGTAGCACAATGTATCAGAAATGGAATTCATCATGGTATTCAAAGAGCTGAATCTACTGCCACTGCGTCCTTTCAGATACAGAATCTAGAGATATTTTTGAAAGAGTTGTTTTTTCTTTCTTGGTAGCGACATCTCTCAACGAGTCCATACACCCCGCTCTTGTCTGTGCTTTTATATTGAAAATACTTCCCTTCCCAAAGAATGGAATTTTGGTTGAGTCTGGAATTGAGGCAGAGGAAGCAAATTTGCTTCATCAATTTCAAAAGCTAAATCAAAGACATCTGCTATAGAAGGATGAAACAAAAGCCTCCTTGCTGGCCTAAAAAGACAGAATATCACTTTGAAGCACAGTATCTTGACCTGAGTACGGTGCTTAACTCCATTTTTTTTCGTGCGTAATTATATTTATATCTGAGCTTGGTCATGAATCCTTTTCCAATCTTGTCTACAAGCTCAGACTTCAGACGAGTCCCTCATTCGCCGAAAAAAAATTCCATAGACTGAATGAGCGTTTGACAAAGCTTTATATCAAGCATCTCTCAAGGAGAGGGCACAAAAACCACTTTTTGATAAGCCAGTATTTATAAATCGTTAATCAGATGAAAGGACAAGATCACAGATAAAAGGATTAACGATATTTAGGCACAAAAGCAAACTTAAGCTTCCAGTTAGAGTCGAAACAGAAGCATGAACAAAAGAACGCACAGGATTTCATTATCCTAGCGTGACCCATTACTATGGGTTAGTCCTGATTCCGATAGAAGGTTAGTTTACATAAGATACTTTTCCATCGAAGGGGTTATGACAGCCTTAAAATGCCATGGCATATAAATTTTGTGAATATCCTCTGCTTAATTTTGAAAGGGGAGCAGAAGGGTTCAAGGATTAGGCAACAAAATCAACGAGCAAGTTTAAAAACACAATAAATTTCATATTTCTCTCATTATTACTTTAAATATCTCTCATTATTCGAAATTATCGTCTATATTTTTCTTAATCTTGTTTTCTCGCAGTTTGTGATCTGTTTAGTGCGACAACATTAGAGCAAGTTTTGAGGTATGATGGAGCATTTGAGACATGCCACTGAGCATGAAAACTACACTACAAAACTCCAAATTTTTAACTCAACAGAGAATCTCGCCTTATGCTACTACTGAGCCGTATTCTTAGAAGTTCGTGTAATGGAGGAACCTGAAAATAAAGAATGGGAAATCTTTCCCCAAAACAGTGGATTTCCAAAGACGATTACCCCACTGCACGCAGAAAAAAATGGGCGTATACGAAGGGTTGGAGCGAAGCCTTCTATTTACGTTTGCCCAAAACAAAAGCCAACTGTTCTCAGAGGCCGGTCACGAGTAGCCTTTTGTGGATTTCGTAAGAGAAATCTGCTACGAGCACAAGGAAAGAACCATCCAGAAAACCATGAAAAATCAGTACCTGGCGGGTTGCAAAACGCACCCAAAAAAGTCTCCTTTAGCAATAATATCCAGACATTTGACGAAAAATATGTAAGCTCTCGGCGAAGCTCATTCAAAATGTTTTTCAAGCTGGCACTTAAAGTAGAAACACGAGATGGAACCCAGAATAACCAACAGAAAGAACCGGATGATACAAATAATTTAATGACGTTTAACCCAAGTAGAGGTAAAACTTCATCTCCCAGTAATTCTCAAAGAAAGCATTCAAGTTTGAGAAATATTTCTTCCGGAATCAAAAGCTTTGTACTCAGGGATGACAAAGCTCCCAAGGAGCCAGACAACAAAGAGTCAGTAAGCCGGCTTGCGATAGTTGAGCAGAACACGCGGCACCACGGTATAGTGACTATACAAGCAAAATGTAAAGGAAAGCGAAGTCGATTTAAAAACTTCCAAATGGACCCAGTTCCAGAAAGCCACGAGTCTGCACCTGAGGCACCGCTACTCGAAGATCTTTCCGTGGTAGAGAGCAAAATTCACTCAAAAACGGTTAGAAGCAACAGACCTTCATCGAGGCCGATGCAAACCCCGGCAGAAAATACGACTCCAAAGAAATGTACAGAGTTGCGTGAGGCAAATGTCACATCGATCGACTTGGCAGCTCGAACAGATCACAGGACAATTCCAAAGGTCAAAAAGTACCCGAGACACTTTCCTTTTAAGAATGGAAAGCTTGAACAGACTACCAAAGCCTGGAAAGACTACTGAGAGCCTACCAAGACTACTGATTGCCGAACATCTTTTGGTATAGTATTGAAATACTAACAAGTCAGTAAAGATATTTTGGGTCTTGATAGATGCCTCGGGTATTGTATTTGAAAACGTATTTGCTTTTTTATAATAGAGAAATGAGTGGACTTGGCACAGTTGTCACTCAACCCGGATCTCAATATTTCTAGCGGCAAACATCGCTCATGATGACCGCAAATTACAAGAAAATCGGTACCTTTAGGAATTAGACAAATTCCTGGTTCAATGAGTCTGTGGGCGAGCCTCTCAAATTTTAATATTTTATAGTTTGTACAAATGTTGAGGTGCGTTTGTTGGAGATGTTCACTCTCACTACTAACGTCACATGTAGCAAATACAGAACATCAGAATACAATTATGTGCAAAAGACAGGACAACGCTACTCAAAGCCACATTGCACATTAAATGAACTGGCCCTGAGTCAGCCAATATATTCCAAGTATGTCCTTCTCAGTCAGCTGATAATTAATGTGTATTCACAGAAAAGCAGACAGTGAGAAATCGGCTCTGAAGACGCCGCACCATGATGCTATCATGGCACTATCTGCCAGAAGAAGCCTATTTCTGACGACCCTGTAAGGTTCTTACGAAAATTGGCAGCCGCTGTTGCAATTTCGTACAGCTTCATCATAGTTGGTTATATGCAGCTGCATTCATTTTCAGGCCGAATTCTTAAGTTTGTCAAATGTTAAGTGTGAGATTTACTGAGCTGCTGAGGCCTCTTTCTAGGATATCCTCACTGCTCGTTGCAGCAGACCAACCAAGAAAAGGCTCAACTGTTGGCTATTTGGGTGATGTGAGATCCATGATCTTCAAATTCTCAGTGAGAGCTTCAGTGAACACTTGACAATTTAAGCGGAGATAGAAAGCATAAACAAAACCTTCAGGTCAGTCGTTACCACGCGATATGTCTGATAAATCTAGAGGAAAGACCTTCAGAGACTTATGCTCACTATTCGAGTATACCCTTTGAAACTTTAGACTGACAATGAGTGAAGTGTAATCCAAGAAGGTGGATTCCACTTCATTTCTGATTTCAATTAATTCAAGAGCAGCACCTAGAGTACAACACCGTGTGCATGGGCTCCGCCCGATACAAGAAGACGAGAGACTTGCTCAAGCGTTTTATAAGAAAGACCACATTGCTCTTACATATCAACAACATTTGGACAGTGGAGAGAAGATTGGGATTGTCAGTACCCACTTGCACTGGGACCTTTCTTTCAACGATGTAAACGCAGTGCAAGTCTGTATCTTACGGGAAAGACTACAAGAAAATGTTAAAAAAAGCTCAAACAAATCATGTGAGGCGAAAAGCACTTCTATGGTTATTTGGGGTGACTTAAACTCAACTAAGAAGAGTTCCGTGCATCAGCTCATTTCATCGGGCTCTGTTTCAAAGCACGAGAATATCGACGGTAGGAAATATGGCAGTTTCACCGACGAAAGGTTCCGCCACTCGGTCAAATTGAAGTCAGCCTACGACCAACCCCGGCTTTGATTTTCCATTCCCCCAGTGCCCGCCCACATTCACTAACGCGATAGAGAATTTTCACCAACTCTTTGCAAGGGGGGGGGGGGGGGGGTGTTCGTGTGAAGCCGATGAAAAGTATTTCACCAAACAAGTCAGAATACCCAAGTAGGGCTTCATGGCCGCTTCTGAGTGGTTTCATCCATACATGACACGTGACGATGTCTGGTGCAAGACCAGCAGTGAGTCGGCCAGTCCAACGGCGAAGAATTTCCACGGGCCAGAGAAGACGTGCAGCTCCCTTCCGGTCTCGGTTGTTGGGCGTTTATATCAAAACACTAGTGACTTGATTTTGGTATACCATGAAACAGATTGCGTTATTGCAAATCCCGGACACCCCCGGGCAAAACCGGAGGCGTGCTCTCGGCCGACTCAAGATAGTTCGCGTGCGCAGAGATGCGTTCGCGTGCATGCACCGCAACGCAGACAGGTCTCGTGGGTGCAGGACTCGGGGTTTGCTCTCCACAATTGCCATGGCGGGCGACGTTGGTTGCTTCTCTAGCGTGACGTCAGCCCCATCGTTGGAAATTACACGCGTTTTCTGTTGAGGCCCCCCGACGTGTTCCCTGGTGCCACACACGTTGCAGTCCCGCCATCATGATTGTATCCTCAGTGCGGCGCTATTCCAACGCATCCCCAGGCATCTCGGCGAGGCTCTCCCAGCTGGTCAAGAACCAAGGCCTCCTCAGGCTGCAGGCGTACATCAACGGCGAGTGGGTGTCTTCCGCCGCCACTTTCGGGGTGCGTGACCCCGGCAGGGTGCCCCACAAAAGCGCCCATCTAGCAGACGTGTCCTCGCATCCAAAGGCACACTTTGCCCGGGCCATTGAGAGTGCCCAGCACGCGTTCCGGCTGTACCGCACCACCACCCCTCGGCAGCGCGCGGACTTGCTCCAGCGGATGCACCGCTTGATGGTGGATAACAAGACGGACTTGGCCACGATCATCTCGCTCGAGAACGGCAAGCCGTTGGCAGACGCCGCCGGCGAGGTCCTGTACGCCGCGTCGTTCTTCCAGTGGTTCGGCGAGGAGGCCGCGCACACGACGGGCGACATCATCAGCTCCAGCAACGCGGCCAGCCGGATCTTGGCTATCCGGCAGCCCGTGGGCGTATGCGGCATCATCACGCCCTGGAACTTCCCCGCCGCCATGATCACGCGCAAGTTGGCCGCGGCGCTCTCCGTGGGCTGCACTGCGGTGGTCAAGCCCGCGTCCGAAACGCCCTTGACGGCCCTTGCGCTCGCCCACCTTGCGCACGAGGCCGGGTTTGCCAAGGGCGTGGTCAACATCGTGCCGTCGGCCGACTCGGCCGAGGCGGGCCGCGCGATCTGCGAGCACGAGCTGGTCAAGAAGGTCACGTTCACCGGGTCCACGGCCGTGGGCAAGGCGTTGATGCAGCAGGCCGCGGCGACGGTCAAGAAATGCTCGTTCGAGTTGGGCGGCAACGCGCCGTTCCTCGTGTTTGAGGACGCACGGGTCGACGACGCGGTGGCGGGGGCCGTGGCGTCCGCGTTCCGCAGCAGCGGGCAGACGTGCATCTGCGCCAACCGCATCTTCGTGCACGAGAGCGTCTACGCCGAGTTTGCGCAGAAGCTCGTGCGGGCGCTACGCTCGGCCACGACCTTGGGCCACGGCTTGGCCAGCGGCACGACCCACGGCCCGTTGATCCACGGTCGGGCGATGGACAAGGTGGCGCGGCACGTGCAAGACGCCCAGGCCTTGGGGGCGGACTTGCTTCTAGGCGGCCGGCCGCGGCGCGAGCTCGGCGACTTGTACCACGAGCTCACGGTGTTGGGCAACGTGACGCCGGACATGGCTGTTTTCCGCGACGAGACGTTCGGGCCGGTGTGCCCGTTGATCAAGTTCGCGTCTGAAGACGAGGCCGTGGCCTTGGCCAACGACACGCCCGTGGGCTTGGCGGGCTACTTCTACACGCGCGACATGCGGCGTGTTTTCCGCGTGGCTGAGCATTTGGAGGTGGGCATGGTGGGCGTGAACACGGGTGGCATTTCCGAGGCCAGCCTTCCGTTTGGCGGCGTCAAGGAGTCGGGCTTTGGCCGCGAGGGCTCCAAGTACGGGGCCGACGAGTACACCGTGGTTAAGTCCATTGTGCTTGGCGGCCTCTAGGCGGGGTGCTGGGTGAAGCCGACTGGAGCGCTGTCTGGCGGTTGCCGTTCGTGGGCCAACGCCCCCTCAGATTCTGTACGAAAGACCAGGCCGTAGGAAACAATCAGGTCCTATGATTCTGTGATCCAAGCTGTAGGAAACAATCAGGTCCTCTGATTCTGTGATCCAAGCTGCACAAAAATCAGACCCTTGGGTTCTGTGGCCAGGAAAGACCAGACTGTAGGAAACAATTAGACCATATGATTCTGTGCCAGAAAAGACCAGGCTGTAGGAAACAATCACCATATGATTCTGTGCCATGAAAGACCAGGCTGTAGGAAACAATCACCATATGATTCTGTGCCAGAAAAGACCAAGCTGTAGGAAACAATTAGACCATATGATTCTGTGCCAGAAAAGACGAGGCTGTGGGAAACGATCAGACCCTCTGATTCTGTGCCAGGAAAGACGAGGCTGTACGAAACAATCAGACCCTATGATTCTGTGACCCAAGCTGCACAACAATCAGACCCTCTGATTCTGTGCCAGGAAAGACGCAGCTGTAGAAACGTAGAATGCCCCGAACCATTTGATTATGTGGTTATGTACTTCATGCGCCTCGATGTGCTGGCCCACATACTGGACACGGGGCAAAGGCCTGGGTTGCGGGCCACACCCATTCGAAGGGGCCGCAAGACATTAGTTCCCAATGCCCTGGCTGACTCCGACTTCCCTGTGTATGAGAAAGAAACAATGCCTAGGCACACACGACAGAGGCGCCGTGACCCTCGATGCTCCGAACCCAGCGCACACACATGGTGGCGGCAGTCTGCGACATCCACATCAACAGTCCTATACTCTCTGGCGGGGCGTTTCGACTCGTAGTATTGAGACGGCACACGGGCATCGACAGGCGCGTGCAGTCCGCGGTACGGGCCGCTCCCCCCGAATCACGCGCCAGAGACTCTGTGTCTGGCCCACACTATTGGTCCGGGCCCTGCAAGTACGCCGCGTCGAGCTGGTCTATGGGCGGGAGCTGGTCTGGGAGCTGCGGCAGCGGGATGTACGCGTCCGCGTAGCCCGCGGCCATCAGCACCTCGGAGTCCATTGCGTACGAAAGTTCCTCCAACGACGGGTCGGGGAGATGCATTGGCGGCGCCGCGGCATCCACGGAGACCGGCGCCTGGTCGGCAAGGAGCGCGTGGGCATGGAGCTCGTCCTGCTGCTGCGCGTCCTGTTCATGCTGCTGCTGCTGCTGCTGCTCCTGCTGCTGCTGCTGCTCCTGCTCGGAGAGGAGCCTCTGGCGCTCGGCCTCCTGCTGCGCCTCCTCGCGGCGGCGCTCCACGGCACGGGCGTAGATCAGCGTATCGAAGCCAGGCACGTCCTCCATTGCATGGGCACGCGTAGGCATGGCCACAGGTCCCATGTTGTGCCGGCGGTTGAGCGCGCTGGCCCCGCCCACAACAGCGGCCACGCGGCCCGCCAAGGCCGCGCTGAAGGCACCGGAGCCGCGCAACTCGTGTTCAATCTGCGTGTTCAAGTCGGCCGTGTCGTCGGCACGCGGCTCGGGCGCCGGTACGTGCTGGAGCGCGGCCACTTCTTCCTGGAGCCGGGCGACCGTGGCGGCGGTCGCGTACGGCGTGTGGACCACACGGGTCAAGTGCGCGTCGCCGGCCACCACGGCCCGGCGCGCCATATCTAGCTCCTCGGTGAGCTGCGCGGCATACACGGACTTGTACGTGACGGAGCGGATGCCGCCGTCCGCGGTGTTTCCGTTGGTGATTGAGGACGCCAAGCCGAGGGGCGCGGAGGCCTCGGAGGGCTCTTTGTACTGGGTGGCAGGCACGGGGGGTTTGCGGATTGGCATGGTTCGGTGTTTTCGGTTGGCGTTTGGGGTGTGGGTGGTTGGTGGTATTGATGTTTGTGTTTGTGTTTGTGCTTGGTGTGTTTGCTGGAGTCCGTCGCTCAGTTAGTTTGCGTAAGGGATTCCGTAATTCTATTTGTGTTTGTGCTTTGTCAGTCAGCAGCTGATAATAAGGGCGGGTAGCTGGAACACTGCTATTCAAACGTTGGTTTGGCTGGGCCCGGCGGGTAATGCGTGCTTGTTGAGCTAGTATCACAGTCAGGACGAAGAGGCTCGAAGACTCGGTAATACACAGGCACAATCGAAGGTGAAAGCACACGATTAGCGGGGAGTGGGGCGGGTTTCGGGGAGCACACGAAATCCGGTGGCAGAAGCAGTTGGACTTTAAAGAGAGAATTGAGATTTTGTTGTTGATGGAAGACGAGATCCGCGCGCGTGTTTTGGGCGGCGCACGACCGCGGCTTGCCGCTGCCCCAAGCCTAGGATTTTGCAGCCGGTCGTTCGTGGTTTGCCGCTGGAATCCGGGTAGTGCCCGTTTGGGGCCCTTGTAAGTTACAAATGATTTTGGTGTCTGAAGGGAACCATCTTGAAAGTGAGCGATAAGGGCGTATTGCCGGAAGCCGGGGCCTATATGACTATACCTGCAGTAGCTACAGCAACTTAATAACTTGAAAAAACTAGAGGGATTGAATGAAAAAAGTCCTGGAAGATGGGGGCCTGAAAACAGAAGGCCTGAATCTGATGGGTTCAGATGTTGGGAGACTGCTGGGGATGACCAGAAAATCTGCAGTGGCTAGACAATCTATGCTGGAAGAGCTCAAAGAGCTGAAAGAGCCTTGGAACCCGGAAGATTAAACAACTAATAGGTTGACGAACTATAGAAACTGAAGCTGTCAGAGAATGGGAAGAGCTGAAACAAATAAAGAGCCCGAAAGACCGAGAAGCCAGAAAGCCAGAAAACTGGTGGTGAAAGAACTGGAGAATAGAGAACATGAGACTCTGACCGTCCAGGAGAATAGAAGAACTGGACTGGAACTGGACAGGCTACAAGACCAGAGGAACTGATCCGCTGGCTATACCCAATTCCACTCTCAGCCTCAGCCACAGCATTTGCAACAGAATAGAATTTCCATGTCTATGATGGGTGCGGATGATTGTTCTATCATGGGTTCATCAGCGACGACACCAATGCGAAATGCAAGTCAATCGACTGAAAAGGGCGTTTATGTGCTCTAGAACAAGAGATTTAAGGAGATTGAGCAGCTGAGCGATGTGGCATAAATAACAAGGCAGCACCATGGAAGACAAGCAGACATTGCCCTTGACGACGAGAACAGGCCAATCCCACGGAGTTTGGGATCGGTTGAATTCGGGCCTGATTGAGATCATCCAACATTCGAGGAGGCTGGAGAAGATGAGCCGGCTGGGGAGATCGAACTGGTTGGATAAGAACACTGGAAAGACTAGACAATACCGCTCGCTGAGAGGCACTGGACAAGACAGAAGAGAAGAACTGGAACAATAGAAGAGGAGAACTGGAACGGTTAAAAGAGACAGCCGTAACTTGTGGAGAGAACCTGACCGACTAGAGAAAAAAGAAGTGAGCAGACTACAAGGAGAAGAAGGGAAACAGCTGGAACCGAAAAAGGCAGGCTTTTCGACCAGCTAGGTTCCATGTTCTTCAAAGGCCGCCAGCAAACGCATCTACAGTGGGTCTTGCCTTAATGGCGCGGGCCCGGCTTGGAGACTTCTCGTAGTGTCAATTTGCGGGCGCCACGAATCGGGGCCTCAATGTCTGTTTGCATTTGATTATGGACCCTGCTGGAATCAGTATGACCGCATACTGCACTCCTTCACTGGCCAATGCCAAAGCGTTTGGGCTAGGTGGATATAAGAAGCACGCTGCGAGAAGACAGCACTGATTTGTTCTGCCCGTGCCGGATGGCATGCCTGGGGCTCTGTCCCAGTAGCCGCTGTCCGGATTAAGGAAAAACGCCATTCTGGCGTCGGTCCCAGCACCAGGTTTGGAGCCCAAATGGCCGGGACAATCTAGAGTCAGGCTGGCAGAGATCCGGTTGGCTGGAATTTAGAAGCCAGAACATTCGGAGCACACGGCGGACCACCTGACAGGCCGGATTGAGATCGCAACTCCGGGACCAGGGTTATCCTTGTTTCCTGAAGCCCGGCATTTGCAGCCGTTCGTGTCATCTAGCTGTCCGCGGAGACACCTTTACTATGACAAAAACCTTGGCTGGCGGTTCAAGCAATGTTTCAAGGTGTCAAGCAATGTTTTCAAGGTGTCAAAAACGGCTTCAAGTCAACCAACGTCTAGTCAACCAACGTCTAGTCAACCAACGTCTAGTCAACCACCATCTTCAAGTCAAACACCGTCGGAGCACCAGTTCAAGCACAGCCTCGCTAGCAGACCCGGCCGCCTCGCCCTACGCCGGCACGCTCTCCGTGAGCGACTCCTCAATGCCCTGGATGAGCCCGTCGATGTCCTCCACCTTGAGCCCACAGCTGAGGCTGATGAGCCGGCGGTACTTGTTCATTGTGGGCGTCACGGCAAAGTCCCGCACGCGCGCCGCCACCATGCCCGCCAACTGCTTGCGCCGCACCTGGGCAAGCCCCAAGCGCTTGCTCAAGGCCCATTTCTCCTGCGCGTCCAGCGCGGACGCCGGCGCAGACGGCCCCCCGCCGCCCGGCTCCGTGCCGCGTTCGTGCCGCTCCACCGCCCCCGCAAGCTCGTACGCGTGCCACTTGCCGATCGTGGCCTGGAGCCGGGCCTCCTTCTGGGCCAACTGCGCCGAGCACTTGGCGACCTCCGCGGCCACAGCCGCCAACGCCGCGTCAAGCGACGCGCCCGAGGCAAGGCCGTTGCGCACGAGGAGCGCCGCGGCCCTGCGGGCGCACTCGGTAATCTGGCGTCGCTTCTCCGCAAGCTCCGCGTGCACGCGGCGCCTCTCGGACTGGAGCCCGCCCAACTGGTCGTCGTAGGACGCCAGGAGCGAGTGCATCATGCCGGACACCATGGCGGACACGTCGGCCATGGGGAGCGGAGCGCCGGCGTCGCGGCGCGGGCCGGTCTCGGCAATCCGCCCGCGGCTGTCAAGAGGCGGCGGGTGCGGCGAGAGCGCCGTCTCCGGCAGAGCGGCCGGCCGCACGGCCACCACGCCCAGCACCGGCGGCTTGGGCGGCAGCAGCACGGGCGCCTGCTTGGGTGTCAGCGCGTGCCCGGCCACGAAGATGTTCTCCTTATTGTCGTCCACAGTGCCAGCCTGTTGTTCCAATAGGGATCGGAGGTCGTCCTTGGAGACGCGGTCGTGGAGCTCGTCGACGTCCTCCTCCTGGACCGTGGTGCGCTGCGTGTCGGGCGTCTCGGCAAGGCGGCTGAACGCACGGATGGGCGTGCCGAGCGCCGCGTGCTCGTGGCCGTGCTGGCGGGCCGAGTCCCGCGGCCCACGGCTGCCCGCAAGGCCCGCCTGCGTGACCTGGAACGTGGGCATGGGCGCGTCGTACATGGGAGCGTGCTGCGCAGGTGCATGGGCCATGCCGCCGGCGAAGCTGTAGCCGGCGAGGCCCAGCTGCATGATGAGTGCCTTGGCCGTGAGGCGGTGGAGGTCCGGCAAGTCGTCGCGGGCGCCGTGGTCCAAGAGAACCCTGACGAAATGCGCGCAGCCGGCGCGGGCCGCAAGGTGGAGACACGTGTCGCCGTTGACGTCCTGGTGGTCGAGCACGTTCTGCACCAAGTCCACGCCGCTGCCGCTGTGGCGCGCCATGGCCGCCAAGCGGGCGAAGATCTCGCCCATGTAGTACGCGAGCGCCAGGAGCTTGTGTGCCACTTTGGAGAACTGGCACAAGTAGTGCAACGGCGTGCGGCCGTTGACGTCCGTGTTGATCAAGCACGTCTCGAGCGCGGCCACCACGTGCGGGAAGCTCCTGGCGTCGAAACAGTTGTTGAACGAGATGCACTTGGACAACGGGTTCAACCCGTGGCTGCTGACCACCAACGGGTTGGCGCCCTTGGAGAGCAACAAGTGCACTAGGTTCAAGTTGCCGATGGACGCGGCCCAGTGCAACGTGGAGTGGCCCTCGTCGTCGATGGGCTCGTTGACGTTGAACTCGCACGGCAGGCTGTACAAGAAATAGGGGATGGGCAAGTTGTCGCCGCTGAAAAAGCGCAACAACTGCGCCACGTGCGAGTTGTCCTCGTCCATGGGCGCGGCGCCCTGCTTGGGCTCGCCCAGAGACACGGACGTGTCCGAGTCACGCGTGTGTTCTTCCTGCGACCAGCTGGGCTCGTTGGTCAGGTGCGCCAGCGTGCCCCCGGGCCGTGCCGGGTACATCATCTGCTGCCGCGCCATGTCGTCGATGCCGTGCGTGAAGTTGCCCTTGCCAAAGGGCCCTTGCGGGGGCCCCGGCGCCGGCGGCGCAAAGCCCGGGTCCGGCATGGCGTAGCTGGCGAACGCGCCGGGGGCGTGGTACGCGTTTTTCTGGCTGCCCATGAGATCCGCGTAGTCGTGCTGCGGGGGGGCCATGCCGGCGGGCCCCGCGTGCATGCTGGCCATGTGCGGCCCGCTGGGGTCGGCACGCGGCATTGAGGGGGCGTAGTTCTGCGTGAACACGGCCAGCACAGGCATGTGGCCCTCGTACTTGACCTTCTTCGGCGTGGCGTCACTCGCCGTGGGCCTGCGGTTATACTTGCGTTTCAGCGGCGTGCTCTCCTTGGCCGCGCCTATGCCCTTGCCCTTGCGCAGAATCACGGTGCCCGGGTCGTTGACGTCCACATATAGCACGGGGGCCATTTCCGCGGTGATATTGTATTCCTGGGCCAACTTCTGTGCTTCGGGCAAGGGGATCCAGGTGCCCTGGAACCGCCCGTACCCGCCCTGCACTTTCTCGTGGAGGCCCTTCTGGACGCCCTTCTCGAGGATCTTGGTGCGCTTGGCCTTGGGGAAGTCGCAGAGCTTCAAGATCTGCGTGGCGTTGACCCAGTCGTCCTTGCACCGGCGCATGATGGGGGCGTCTCCCGCCAAGCATTCGTAAACATCGATCTGAATTCGGTTAGTATGCCACGGCGAGGGACGGGTGCTTCTCTGGTTAAGGAGGGCTGGTCCAAGGAGGACTGGGAAGGTATGGACGCAAGCTGGCATTGAACAACAAGAGTCTCGCTCAATTCCCGGCGGCTTGGCGGGGAACTGGCCAGCCAGAATCCACGTGCTTCCACCCACTGCAAGCAGCAATTTCGGGAACCTTAGCAAGAAAGCGTACATGGGGCTTTTCGGGCCATGTCTTTCCAGAGCCCTGGGAAATAAAGCACTCTGGCCGCAGGGTACGCGAGGAGACGGGAAAAAACGGCGCCACTTGGGCCCGGACGGCCCCGGAGGCAAGCGGACTAACATACACTGGAATAGGTGGCAATGTACACCGAGGGATGCTCGAAGGACATGGCGCTTGTTCGTGGGTGGTGGAACAACGGCCGTGAGATCTCGCGATTTGGAAGGGACAGGGTTCGCTGAGCAACGGCCTGATGGAAAAGAAAGTGATGGCGCGCGGCCGCTATGCCCGTATTAGGCGATTATTAGACGCGTGAATCGCTGGTTGCGGGTGGTGTCTGGGGGTGCCGCGCGCTCTGTGCAGGTGCCGGGTCCTTCACGCGTGGCGGCCGGCCTGTTTAGTGCAAACGCCCATCTGCCAATTCCGAAAACGGAAGCGGAGGCGGGACTGTGGATTGGCACAAACGTCCGGTTGGGGCGGAGGAAACGGATATCGGAGGTCGGGCTCGCGACACGCGTTCGGAAATCAGGGCAAACAGGAGCCTTTTTTTGAGGGGCCTGATTTTCCGAACCTTAATTGCAAAGCCTATTTGCCGGAGCCTAATCCAGCCTTAGCGCGGTGGCTCTTTATTTCCCGGAATTGGCCCCGGCCTATGGGCACCGCATGTTGCGACCCCAGAATATTTTTTTTTGGATAGTGTGGATCTGGATTTCTGTCTTCATGGGCTTTTGGGGTCACAGCTCGGACGCTTGAGTTTTTCATGTTTGGGGAAACACAAGAGATTCGTAAAGAACGAGTCAGGAACCGAGCTCGCGGCACGGTTGCGAGCATGCTCTGTGGCTGCGAAATGAATCGAGGCGTCCACAGATTCCATCCCTTTTCTCTGCCAAATCCGGTGCTCTTTCTCAGCCGTGAACTAGGGGTCCCCTCCAAAACCATGGACTTTGCAGGGTGAATGGACGAATCTTCATGCTTGATCTTTCCGTTCTTTTTCGTTGCAGAGGTCCAGACCCGACCAGACAAAATCAGCAAAGAAGCAGGTCCTACGGATACGTGTATCCTGCGAAAGAGCGCAGAATCATGACGGTCGCTTTTTTTTTTTGGTGATATCTGGGAATGAATCTTTGACGCGTCTTGTCTAGTAAATGCGAGACTGGCGAAGTCAGTGACAGTCACAAGAACAATTTTTTGGTGGATTCATCTGATAAAAGGGGCAAAACTATATAAATAATATATATAAAAAACCTTTAAGCAGCTCCCCGCTACGCACCAAGTGTCTCGGCTCGGCCCTTCCCCTTCCGTTAGTCACGGCCTGGACGGTCCTCGTGGCCCGTGTCTGTTTACGTATTGGATATTACGTCATTGACCACTAGGATAGGTCTCCTGTAGTAGTCGCTTCAACTCAGATGGTTGTAGCAGACTTAAGGAGCACACCGAAAAACCGTGGGGGCCAAGACCATTGACCCAATTCCATGAACTTTTCTGTAAGCTCCTCTATCTTTTTAATTCACATCTACAATCGTCGCAGCCCTCTTTCCATGCAGTGGCATCTTTATATTTATTACACCTTCTCAAATTCCGGTTGCGGCCATACCATGCAGGAAGCACTGTTTCCCGTCCGATCAACGTTAGTTAAGCTGCATAGGGCCACACTGAGTAGTGTAGTGGGAGACCATATGCGAAATTGTGGTGCCGCAATCTTTTTGCTCTTGTGCTAAAAAGATTTTGCTCTTGTGCTAAAGGGGAAAGAAAGTTAGGCCTTTCGAGGAACCTCCTGGTGATTTGGTCGTATGGGCGAAGTTGAGAACGAAGTGCCATAGAGCCATGGAAAATGCAAAGATTGAAGCCTATGGCTGGCCGAGACTTTTTGCTAGCGGCCGAAAATAGCAAGATGTAGTGTCGTAGGCCAAAGAGAAGAAAAGGGTCTTTTTGGCGGGACAGTTCTTCCAAAAGCCGTTTGGGCCAGCCTCATGCCCACGATGTAGTTGAGACTGCCAATCAATCCGTGCATTCACTTCATCAATCCATTCCGAAATCAATCCAATATCAATGGCATAGTACTTTCCAAATGGATCCCACTATCATTTGCAAAATAAACCAACAACTGATTCAAGATACACCAACAACTGAAGCCAAAATTGCACCAGCAACGATTCCAGCGAATCATTGAATTTTGGATCGCGCCTTGCACCCTGAGTTATTCATCAAGACATGCGTGGACGAGCGATATTCCCTTCAGACTCAAGGTTTGGTCTTAAATACGTCTATATCAAACTTTAGAACATAGTTTCAATCATTCATTATCTTCGTAGGACCACCCCGACACTAAATAAATCAATATACAGAGGGGAGGAACAAACAGGAATTGGCTCGCAACGCCCAGTGAAGCGGCAAGTCTCAAATTTGAGAACCTCAGGAATTGTAATTTGGTGGTCTCAGTCGGTACAAGCATTCTTGAGTCCATTAAAATAAGGCGCCATGAAAGGTGATTTCCCGGTGAAGAAACCCGCTTGCTTCATTTTGTTTGGTCACGAAAGATTCCAAATTCATCGACCGGTAGTTCTAGTCAATCTCCCAATTGACCCCATCTCCATCCACGAGTGGTTCCAACTCGATTAAACATGTGCTTCTAGCTCGATTCCACAATTCATCCCAAATAAATGTACAGCTATTCACACTGAATCCCACAAATATCTCCAAATTAATTCGAAAGTTATGAACAACTCGATCCCCAACTATTTCCATCTCCCAAATTATTCCAAATTAATCCACAAGTATCACCGATTCGGTCCCCCAGTAATACTGGCGCCATTGAAAACCAATTCCACATTATTCCCACAATTATTTACAGCTCGATTCAAAGCTAATTCCAGCTCCATCACTCAACGAATTCCAGATTAATTCATAACTATTTTCAACTCGATCCCTCAACCATCTCTACATTAATTCCAAAGTTATCACCAACTCCATCCCCCAATACTTTCCAAATCCATCCACAACTAATTGCAACCGTTCCCCAACAAATTCCAATGTAACCCATAACTAAGCCCAGTTCCATCCCACAACTAATTGCAACCGTCCCCCAATAAATTCCAAAGTAACCCATAACTAAGCCCAGTTCCATCCCACAACTAATTTCAAATCATCCCCTAATTCCAAATCATCCCGAATTTTATTTCCAACTTGATCCCCCACCAATCATCCCCATTATTATTTCCCACTCGATTCCACAATTTGTTTCAGCTCGATCCCACAATTTGTCTCAAATTAATTCACAACTAATCCCATTTCCGTCCCTCTTCAATCCCAAAATTTCTCCACCAATTGCAAATAACCCCACATTTGTTTCCAACTCAATCCCCCACTAATTTAAAATTGATGACATCCACCTTGGATTCCCAGAGAGCTTCCAGAATACAAGCCTTTTCGCTGGTCCTACATATTCTCCTACCGAGGTACCATAGCCTTGCCGACGTGGTCAGGTGAAACTTCGTATGACAGAGTCGCCCTTGAGACTGCACTCTAAAACGCATGGCCAAGTGTCATTCGGCATTGCCACCATTGACCCAAAACAGTGTTCTTTAGAGTAGTGTCACCAGTTTCTGTTGTGCTTGAGTATTCGGTGAAAAGAAGAGCAGACACATGATTGGCTATATAGATAGCATGTCAATGCTTGATGTTTCGCAACTACTATTGAAGCTGGTATCGGACCCCGAACGTCGCTGCTACTGGTAGTCAGAATTAGCCAGCTCTGGAAGCATATTTTTGTTCGAACAGCCGGATCCCACCAGGATTCAATTAATAAACATGGAGGAAAACTTGCGGGTATCACCCTCATTCAGTGACCATGGCAATGAACCAGTGGTAGTATCACGGTTTTTAAAGACCGCGGTAGTACGCTTTGGGGTTTCCAGTGTGGAGTATGAATGGAGCACACGGGCTTATAACAAGAACAGAAATTTGAAACACATACTCTAAAAATACATAAAATGAATTCTAGCTCTGATCAAGTTTGAAATTATAGGATCTTGAACTCTTTTTTCTACTACTTTCATTGATACTTTATGAATCGATTTTTTTCAAAATAACCTTTGATATTACCTTAAGTAGAATCCTTTAGATTAGTATTTATATATCTTTAAGCTGTCTGACAACTACGATTAGGTCTAAATTCAAAAGATATATCAGAGAAATTTAATTCAAAAATAAGCTCGATAATTGTCTTAATAACTTCTCAGTACCCCAGAGAAGTTTTTTCCAAATCTTATAGGGCGACTCAAACTGACATCATACGTCATATATTACGCCGCGATTCACCACGGGCTTTCCAAGGAACATCTGGACTCGAAGCGGTATAATTCTCTGGGATATTTTTTTAAAGTTGAAGCTGTTTTAGACTCAAATATGGAGCCAAAGCTATATATCCTTGATAAGGTGGAAAGAGTTGAGCTGTTGCTGCCCCACTCAAGAGCATACCAAAATCTGCTTATAGGGACCACTGATGTCAGTTGTTTTTACATGCATAACAATAAAGACAGTCCCGAAAGGCCACCTGTTAGCAACAGGTAATGGCTGTCTTTGGCCACCGGTCTCTTGATAAAACAATCAATGTGTAGAGTGAAATAGACAACAGACAAACAAGGCACAATTTCTTGATTGCGGGAACAAGTGAATACAGGTCAGAACCCACAGTACTAATTTTATAGAACTCAATTCCAAGATCAAAGCCTCAAAGCCTATCCAGTCTTTTTGTGTCAGTGGTATCCAGATGACGGGAGATAATGGCCGTTATTCTTCTATGTAGTCGACATATACGGCACATTCCACAGACAATGAAGGGGAGAACCCACATATACAATTTGTGTTACCGACTCATTTTCCAAGACAAACCAGCCACACCAGCCTCTGTACTCATTTGTAAAGAGCTGGACAAAGCTTCATAAAGCAGTTCTGGATATCTTGTCTTATGCGTCTAGCGACCAACTGAGACTGGGATCTCGGGGACGTGTTTCAAAGATGGATGCCCAGAAGCAGTTCTATCATATACTTTGAAAGGAGGCATTCTCAACACGCTTTTAAATGCCTCGTTTACAACATCTCATGACTGTGGCATCTTTGTCACGTCGTGATCCAATATAAATTCATCAAACTTGATCAGGAAAGCTTCAGAACACGAAAATTAAGAATTTTTTGAATCCTTTATCAGCAGGCCTTAGGCCACAGCAGTAAACAGTCTTGGTGACACGAGGAAAAATGGAAAGTGAAGAATAAAGGGCCTAGTAGAATTTTAAGAGTATTTTATTGGGTGGGCAGGTTCTGGAAAATTAATGATTCAACATAAATAAAACACTTCCACAAATTCTATAGACTAATGTGCCAGCACAGCTGCTTGTTCAGGACATGCCTGCTTAGACTCTGTGGCTGCCTTCTAGGCATATTTCATTCCACGACTTGGAACCATGATTACTCTGGTAGCTTTTCTGATCATAGTCTTTCAGCAGCCGTATCTCATTTACATTCCCGGGCTGCTACAACAAACGTGTGAGCTAGTCTATATGTGACTTTTTGGACCTGGTGAAAAAGGGAACTATTCCGTAGCTGTTGCCCGTGTTGGTTTTGATGAAATTTCTTGAGCGATATCTGACAAACGAATAGCTAAAGCGGGTGTCAGCGAGTGTCAGCAACATGTGTCAGCGATATGAAATAGAACGAGTCTACTACTTCAAATCGCCCAAGCTTTATTGACTTACTGCATTCGGTGCGAGCTAGCATGAAAAGCGTACCCTTCTGCAGCATTCAAAGAATATTAAATTTAATATACTCATTAATATAGACAAATGTGTTCGACGTGATTGCCTCATGTTGAGATTTCTGGTTTAATCTTAGTAAGAAGCCACCGTTAGAAATAAAATAACAACAATATAAAATATTGAAGTACATCCTGTCTTCATCAGAGGTCTCATTGAAGTTCAGAGTTCAATATGACTTTCTCTATTAATTCAGAATTTAAAACAGTATCGGTACTACGGCTGTTGCGAGCCGGCAAATCTTGATTTTTATCTAATCTTGAGCGATTACTTCCCAAATTCCGTACCGTATATCTTAATCATTGTATCCTTTAATCATTGTGTTCCAAATTTATTTAGAATTGGTATAATAAATCTGAAATTCTTTTTAGCAATATTATCTAATTAATTCTGATCTCCACCTAACGTTTTGAATATCTGTCTTTATTCCTCGCTTAGCGAGGTGATGATGCCTTTATTATGTTGTTTATATTCATACGGCCAGTGTATCTGGGAATTTATAGAGAGGGTAAGCTATTGAAGATGAAGGAAATAGTCATGAGTTATGCTACACTATTTTGTTTGAATTTTGTATGCGCATATCAGATTGCACGTAATCTAATAAGATTCATTTAATGTATAATCATTAACATGTGAAGATTTTTCATGAATAAAAGAGCTAGCAAAAATGTTTATTATTAATTACTTTGAGAATACAGTATATTTATAATGTCACCAAATTTTATTACCGTAATCAGTTAACTGTCTCAAATACCATGAGGTACATGAATCACCAGCCCCGAGCTTTGCTCGGGGGCACGAAATTACAAAAAGTATAAGTAAACTCTTACTTAATCAACATTTGCAAACACCAATGGCCCCTTGAAAAGTTCAATCTAATAAAGCAGCGCATGCTTGGTGCTGCCGATCATCAAATTAACACTGACGACTTGCCAATATCGATGGCAGACATACCCAGCTGAACACCGGACATAACCCCGAACAGGAGGTCAAGAGACTGTTTAAAATGCCGCAGTCCAGGTGCATTTCCTTTTTTGGACAAATATGGTCAAAATAAGAAGCTGAAAAAGCCAGGAAAGACCCTGAATTTTTTTCTCGAGAACAACAGAGGCACCGGCCTGCTGGGTGGACTGTCTTACGTGGCCCAAGCAAACGAGGAGAGAAGAAAATGTACAAGCGACCTGCCAATTAGACGAAAAGAAGCCTTTTTTCCCCCAAGAGGGTTTTTTGGGAACTGCAAAAGACAAAAGTGCTGGCCGCACAAGCTCCTGAAGAATTGCCATATTAAAATGCTGAGCAGTCACTCATATATTCACCACTATCCAGAACTCCCCATCACCACTATAGTTTACTACTACTGATCTTCCACCACCACTATAATCAGACACTGCAATGCTCCACTGCAATGCTCCACTACAATATTCCATTACAATACTCCACTACAGTATTCCACTACAATACTCCACTACAATACTCCACTACAATACTCCACTACAATACTCCACTACAATACTCCACTACAAACTCCACTACAATACTTCACTACAATACATCACTACAAATCCTCACTACAATACCTCACTACAATACTCCACTGCTACTATAATACACCATTATCCACACTACTCTTACTTTGCACACTACTCCTATTCTCCACTCTACTCTTGTTCTCCACTCTACTCTTGTTCTTCACTGTACTCTTGTTCTCCACTGTACTCTTGTTCTCCACTCTACTCTTGTTCTTCACTGTACTCTTGTTCTCCACTCTACTCTTGTTCTCCACTCTACTCTTGTTCTTCACTGTACTCTTGTTCTCCACTATACTCATTCTCTCTAGATAACCTCCATTTCTAAATACTATAGTGACCTTTCCCCAAGAATCGCGATTGACGAGCGTCCGGCCAGCTCCTCGAAGTCTCGTTCTCACTGAGCTACGACCACCTACCATTGGTATGGGTCATCTGCTGGCCCACATTTACACTCGAATTCCAGCCAACACTACCTGGCCAATTCCACGTGACATGGGCTCGGCCACATCACAAGCATTGCGTGGATTCGAGCGGCGGATGACGGATCGATGCCCATATATAAGAGCCACTGCTAGCCGTGCTCCTGCAGAAAACACGCGTTACCCTCGTGTGACCTCGCGAAACCATCCTCCGAATTCCAAGGCGTGGATTCTTTAAACAGCCCGAGGCTCCATTCTTCCCATATTTCTGTGGATTTCTGAACCCTTTTTTTTCCAAACCCTGTCCTTTGTCCTCCGTCTTTTGTTTTTTGGGCCTCCATTTCAAACCCCCGTTTTGTTTCTCCCAGCCCTCGGCTGATAACGCCGCGCTTCTTCCGCCACATAACACCAGGGTTCCAGATAACACAGGGTTCCAGAGACCACCAGTCCTGCAGATACCATCAGTCCCCCAGATCACGCCAGGCCTCCAGGAGCAGATGTTTTCCTTCTTCCAGATAAGGCCGCGCGCCTGCACACAGCACTTGTCCGTGTGATATACGTCCTGCACCCAGTGCCGCGCGCCCCCGTCTGCAACACGCAACAACGCCAGCGGCTAGAAACAAACCACTTTCTTCCTTCAAAGGCCCCCCTATCGCGCCTTTCCCCGCCCGTCCCGCCCCCAAAACGCCCCGCCGCCCCGGAGCTCTGTGCGTGTGCTTGCTGTGCTGGAAAAACGACCACTGCCCCCTTTTTCCCGAAAAAAAACACCCGCCATGTCGGCCATAGAGGACGGGTCCTACGATGAATCCGTGCCCCTTCTTTCCCACCGCCGCCAGTCCATCTTGGACATGCCGCTCGGCCTGTTCCGGGGCCCCAACACGCTCCACAACTTTGCGTCGTCCTTCACGCGCGCGCAGCTGTTTGCCGCCCACAAGTTGGACACGGATCTCCACAAAAAGCGCTCCTTCTTTGCCGCGGACTCCGCGGCCTCGCCGCAGGACGAGCTCTTCGACCCGGACCTCATGGTGGCGCTGCCGGCCGGCGAGCGCTTGAGCGTGCTCCGCGCGGGTGCGCCGCCCGGCTTTGCGCACAACGAGGTGTTCTACCAGGACGAGATCGCGTCCATTCTCCACGACCGCTCGCGGCGCGGCTCCGCGGCCACCGGCGGCATCCCCATCCCCACGCGGCGCGTGTACCCGGCGGCGCTGTTTCTGCTGGTGCGGCTGGCCGTGTCCGTGGCGCTGGTGGCGCTGCACTTGGCCTTGACGCGCGTGGAGGACCGCGACGGCAACCTCGTGACGGTGATCGCGGGCCAGAGCACGGCGCCGCAGACGGTGTTGAACTCCGTGAACGTGCTCATTGGCGTTGGGCTCTTGGCGCTCCCCGTGGGCTTGTTGAAGGGCGGCTGGGTGCTCGGCGCGCCGCTCTTGGTGGCCTGCTGCCTCGCCACCTGCTGGAGCGCCACGCTCTTGTCGCGCGCCTTGGACACGGACCGCACCATGATGACGTACGCGGACTTGGGCCACGCGTCCTACGGCCGCACCGCCAAGGCGCTCATCCTGGTGATCTTCTCCGTGGACTTGGTGGGGCTGGGCGTGTCCTTGGTGCTTCTCTTCAGCGACTCGCTCTTTGCCTTGGCGGGCGACGAGACGCGCTGGACCAAGACGCGCTTCAAGCTCGTGGCCTTCGCCGTGTTGACGCCGTTCACCTTCTTGCCCTTGCCCGTGCTCCTGGTCTTCTCCTTGTTCGGTATCTTGGCCACCGTGTCCATCACCGTGCTCGTCTTTTGCTGCGGCCTCTTGAAGCTGGCCTCGCCGGGCTCCTTGATCGAGGCCATGCCCACCAACCTCTGGCCGCAGTCCACGCCCGAGCTCTTTGTGGCCCTCGGCATCTTGATGGCCCCGTTCGGGGGCCACGCCATCTTCCCCAACTTGAAGTCCGACATGCGCCACCCGGAGAAGTTCACCCGCACGCTCTTTACCACCTACACCATCACCTTGCTCACCGACTGCTCCATGGCCGTCATCGGCTTCCTCATGTTCGGCGCCTTGTGCAACAACGAGGTCACCAGCATCTTGCTCGAAACCGCGGGCTACCCGCCGTGGATCTACCCGTTGATCAGCGGCCTCATCTGCATCGTGCCGTTGGCCAAAACCCCGCTCAACGCAAAACCCATCATCTCCACTTTGGACGGCATCTTTGCGCTCGACTTCGCCGTTGAGGGCGAGCCCGCCCTGACCCAGGTTTTCAAAGATGTGTGCCGCTTCTTGGTGAGGGTTGGCGTCAACGCCTTGTTCGTCAGCTTTGCCATTATCTTCCCGGAATTCGATAAGATCATTGGGATATTGGGCTCGTCCATCTGCTTCATCATCTGCATCATATTGCCCTGTTTGTTCTACTTGAAGCTTTGCAAGGACCAAGTCCAAGCCTTCGAAAAGTTCTACATCAGCGCCGTCATTCTCGTGTCCTCTGTGTTGGCCATTCTGTGCACCTACGCCACCATTGCTTACTAGCTACGAAAGGACCCTCGCATAACGCTTTTAATAGAAACATTCATATTAGAAATAAATAATTTATTGTATCCGGTCGTGCCTCTCGCCTATTGCGGCTGGGGTGTTTTTAAAAATTCAAGAAACGCACTTGTTATGCGATCCATCAAAGGTTTGAGCAAAGCGCTGTCGATGACAAAATCATAGTATAACTTCATGAATGTCTGGTTAAGGGACATGGCCTGTTTTTGAACCTCATTCGAAGAGGTGAAGATTGTTTCAAATAGCTTCTTGAACTTGAGATTCTGTGAGTTGAAATTATCTTTCATAGAAAACTTCAAAAGCAACTTCCGGGTCTTGGCGAACCGGTCCTTTTTGAAACTCACGTTAAATATTATTTTGTCTCGCTGAATTTTCTTCGGCGAGCTGGAATGCGTGCTGTTGAGACTAAAGACGAACTGAAAGAGGTTCAAGCTGATGAACTTGGGCTCAAAGTGGAGCCTGCGGAAATTGTTCTGTAACATGAACTCAGATGCTGGCTTCAACTGGTTCTCGACTGAATCAATTGTCTCAAAGAGAATGACTGCCTCTTTAAGATACTTGAAACAGCCAAGCAATGCGCCAGCAGACTGGCCAAGCTCTTGATTGAGCAAGCGCACCAAGGTGTTCACATTTTTCTTCTCGCTCTCGCCTGTGCGTAGTGAAAATGACAGGTCATCCTCACTATGCACGCAAAAAAGAAATGGCTTATAGTAAGGATCAATCTCGAACGAGAGCTCATCAAAGGAGCTGCTGGTGACTTTTAGGTCTGTGCTGCGGACCTGCTCCAAAATCTTGATAAGCAGGTTCATTTTCGCGAGGCTGTCTAGGACTTGGCCCAACATAGACACTGTGTTTGATGGTTTGTCTTCAGTGTTTAGTTTGTTGGAGAGATCGACGGTCGAGTTGATCTGGAACTGATCTTTGTCCACTGCGACAGTCACTCCAAGCTTGAGCAATGAATTGGCGTAGTTTTCGGACTTGTTGCGAAAGCACCCAAAGAGTGTGGTGTGTAACTCCTTCAGCTTCCCATCTCCGGAGAACAGGCAAGCCATGAAAAGTGTTGATGCCGACGCCGCGATAGGTAGTAGATTTCCATCGTTGTGTAGTGCCAACACCGTGCGGGAAGCCGAATGACTGTGTGGGTGTGAAAGATTAAATTTTTCGAGGACGGATTCATCGTGAAGCTTCAAAAAGCCGATGCCCCTTCTCTGCAACTCCTCTACAATCAAGTGATGAATGATTATGTTGGAGCTCGAGCGCGACAACGACTTGAAGAAGCTGTGGTCTGCTTCCTCGGTGTCGCTAAGATCAAGGCTCTGCACCCACTGAATTACCCATTCACCCTTGACAGATTTGAGTCGCGCGACCCACCAGTATGCTTTGGAGGACAGGCCACTGACCATACTGATCAAGAACCACGAGGGCGGCCACGTGCGGCTGCGGAAGAAGCTGAACTTGTGAAGCGGGCTCGACGTCTCGCCCACGAGGCCGCTGAGCAACTTGGCAGTTTCGTAGTCGGAGAGCTTGATGATGCCGTTTGCAACCCAGCCCATGGTTACAAGTCGCATGTGGGTTGCCTTACTCAAATTGTCTGTGCGCAACTCCACCAAGTGGGAAACGACATTCGCGACCAAGTCAGCCTCAGTTACGGAAGCCTTGGCCTTGGCCGCGGGAGGCTTAGTGTTTATTTTTGTCTGAACAGCTGACTCGATGGGCGACGGGTTCATGAAGTAGAAATGCCCGGTCAAGGGGTCGATGGCGAAGACGGTGCTTTTCTTGGGCGTGAGCTTGAGCAAGAGCTGGTGCGGGTTAAGGAATGAAACGGTGTCTGCGGAGACAGCACTAGCGTAGGAGTCGTACACCTTGCGGACAAGGAGCTCGGAGTGTCTGTTGATGACAAGGCTCAACACGTAGTCGATGTTGAGCTCCTGCGCGTACTGTGCGTCCAGGGCATCCAGGGCATCGGTGGAGGCGGCGGTGCGGATGCCGTGGTCGTGGTGGTAGCGGCCGTTTTTGAACCAGCGGAAGTGCAAGTTGTAGTTGCGGTCGATGCCGATCTCAAGGAAGGAGCGCCAGCCCCGCAGGAGGAAGTGGCCGGCCCAGTAGTTCACGATCACGAGGAAGGAGCCGCTCTGGTACTGGATGTTGCCGCGCCACTTGCTGTTGATGGAGAGCACGCGCAACTGGCGTGCAATCAAGTAGAGCTTGAACGCGGTGGCGTACTTGTGGAGCACGTCGTAGAGGCCGGCAAGCGAGTGCTGCAAGAGCACATGGTTGACGACGGACTCCAAGCGAGCCCGCGCGCGGTGCGGGAGCAGCGTGGCCGCCCGGGTGCCGTCGTGGGACGTGAGCGAGTGGTCGCTGTTGACGCCAAAGAGAAACGCGAAGTCGATGAAGAAGAACGGGGACCGGTAGTAGTCGGCCGCAGAGTCCACGACGAGGTCGTTGGCCACGGTGATGGACACGCGGAACTCGTGCGCGAGCGTGAACACCACGCGGCCGTCCTTCACCTCGTAGTTCTTGCGGAACCGCGGCGGCATGTCGTCCACGAGCGCCAAGCGCGCGGTCAAGGCCAAGTTCAAGTCGCGCAAGACCTGGCCAATGCGCTGCGGCGACACGGGCGGCCGCCCGAGGTGCAGGTACGACGGGAGCTGCGGGCGGCCCTTGACCAAGACCTCCAAGGCCGTGAGGATGTCGGCCTGCGGGAGCTTGGCGCCGGAGAAGTGGTTGAGCTCGTTGAGCCCGAGCGCCAAGTTGTCGAAGCAGAACTCCTGCGACCGGAGCCAGTTGAGCAAGTCGATGAGGCGCGCCACGTCCTTGCTGCGCTGGGCCCACTTGACGAGCACGTACAACTTGACGAAGTCCTGGCGGAGCGCCACGAGCACGGCGAGCAACTTGCGTTTGCGCACGGCGTCCGGCTCCGAGGCCCGCGTGTGTGCCAACAGCTCGATCTGGCGGCTGAGCTGTTTGTACGCCTCCTGTGTGTGGAAGCGGAGGATGTTCGAGAGCGGCACGATGTTGTTGGTCACGTGCGCGAGCTCGGGCGGCAGCGGCCTGCCGGATGCGGGGTTGGCGGCGCCGTTGGCGGCCGTTGCTGGCCCGTTTCCATCGGCGGCTATTAGCGCCGGTTTTGTGGACATGTGGCGGGGGCGGCTAGGGGTGCCCTGAAAGGCCCTGGAGGGTCACGGGATCACAGGATGCGGGGGGCCAGGTGCCGGAATTTTGGGGACACGGGCACGACGCGGGGCACGGCGGTACTGCGTATAGCAACGGGGATGGGAGGCCTATGAAACCGCACGAGTCGGCTGATGGAGTGCAAAAAAACGGGGGGTAGTTAGCCGCCAGGTTGAGGGTACGCGGTTTGCAGCGGGAAAATTCGCCGCGCGTCACGTGCGCGGGTGGATCTGGAGAGTGTAGATGTCTGGTGCACGGGTGTGTGGTGCACGGGTGCAGGCGTGCGCGTGCATGCAGGCGTGCGCGTGGATGTTAGCTGGGCCATCGGTGAATTGCTGCAACGAGAGCCTTTGAGTAGCAAATATAAGATACGTCGCAAAGGCGAGGAGAACTATCAATCTTCTGAAAAAAGGGCCTGAAGACTGGAGACAGGACAGTGAGTTTCCAGTGCCGCAATCGGGTTCCAGAGTCAATTTTCATTTTTCCTCGGATTCGTTCTCACGTTGTATATTCAGAATTAGGGCTTTGAATATATAGGCGTATGTTTCTTGGGACAAGCTGTGGTGGAGGGGAGATCTGGTCTTGTTGAGCCTAGGTTTATTTTCGCTGTCATCTTTTATGTTTTTTTTTTTTACTTTCGTTCTGGTGGTTGTTTGTTTTATCTGTTGTTTTCTATTGTTTGATTCTTGTTTCTTGCACGCACGCGTCATACAAATGCCTGTTCGTGAAACACCTCGTAGCTGCACCGAGATTCATATAGATGAGCCGATTTCGGATTTTCTTGGAAAGCTTGGAATTAGGCTTATGCTGGCGGGACTTTTGGAGACTGGCTGTCTGGCTAACTGGAACTTACCTTTTTCCGCAATTGCAATAAAAATGTAACAAGAATATGGTACCTTGAGACGCGCTGATATTGGCGAGCTTCGAAATTAACTTGATCAGAGCCCTCAATCACGGTCACCTTAAACAGCAGCAGATTACTGAGCTTTAAAAGGAGTTTGTATCATATGAATCGTATGAAGAGGAATTTGGTCAAATTGCTTTCGCAGCTTTTAAACAGTATTTAAACAAACGGTTTCATGGCTGAGGAATTGCATGGGAAATGACTGGACTTTTGTCAGAGCTACGCATTAATCCATGCGCAAAACTACCGAAAAGACAAGCCAACCATACAAGCAGCGAAATTGAATCATGGCGTTAAAGGTATAGAGCAAAAACTCCCAAATAACAATGAGTACGGAAAGATACTGGGCTCGAAACCGAACGCAAGCGATCGATGCGAATGTATCTTCAAGACATATCTAGTTTCAAGTATCAAACTTTAAAAAATTAACATTCAAGGACAGCAAAAACAAATGTCTACCCCACAGGAAGCTGAGCGAGGTCTAAACCCGGCTTTGCCTGGACTTTCAAAGATCAAGTTATCATGTCTAATACTAGTTTTTTTCGATATTAAGTCTAGATGTGCTACTCGAGCTTTACCAAGACTGGGTCACCAACATACGAGAAATAGTTTTCGCAATCATTCAAGCTACTTTCTACGAGAAGCTCAAGAATTGGTAGTCCGTGTACGCATACATTTTTTATTGATAGGTGTGATTTGTAGATCCACAGCTAGAGGCGTAGCTGCCGCAACAACCATATGACCAAGACCAGAATCTAATTCAGTGTATACCTTAGTTTGTACTCATCCAGAAAAAATCTTGCAATTCTAATGGTGGTTTATTCTGGACTATTTGAAGTTGTTTGTCGAGATTTCAAAGATTTCAAGTGAAACACCTTAGAAAATTCAGCCGGAATCTTATGTGAACAGTTTTGACGACATACCGTAGAATTGCAGAAGCATGAAATGTCTCATTTGATCCGAAGGTAATGATTCACGTAAAAGATGATGGACTTGAGAGGAAGATAAGGAATAGAGAGTCTCACGAACAGTGAATGACTTTGCACTCTCCGAGTTATTTTCCAACTCACATGTTCCCCCAACATGCCACCTTAGAAGCATTCTCCAAAGATGATGGGCTTCGCCGAGAAACGTGAAAATCAGATACGCCAATACAATCAGGCCTACTGCGTAGAATTGATCTTTCATCGAGGTTGTATCTTCGTATGAATAGAAATTCTCGAAGGTTGACATTATTGTTTAAAAAAATAGTTGAGACCCTATTCCAAATTTTCACACAATCATCTGGCCTCCTGCCACCAAAAAGTAAATTCGTGCGCAATCTTTTCATGTAATAATCTGGTCACGAAACTGACATGTTCATAGGAATGCAGGAATGATGAAAGTAAATCTGAGAGATGAGGTCGAAAATCTGAAGAAATCGATATTCTCGATGAAACACTTAGTACTCTAGGTAAAAGATACTATGGGCATGGATGGATTTACAGAAAGGTGGTCGTGACCTTGGGGGTGGTCGCAGTAGGCTTGAGTATAACTGTGCCAGGCGACGAGAGTTCGCAAAGGTAAAGATTTTATGACTGAAATTTTTTTTTTTGGCAGATGGGGTTGAAGACTTTGGGACCGCCATTTTCCAAATTGTCTTTGTGTTTCTTGATTTTTAAAAATGCTATATTGGACAGAAATAATGTTGGGTCGTTAAAAATGTTTACCTTGGTTTTTTCAAGTACTCTATTTATTGTATTGTTATTATCTGAAAATAAATTTCAGGCAATCCCACTAATAGTGAGGTCTTGTTTTTGGTGACGCCATTGTTGAGGGTGCTTTGAGCCTCTGACGTTGTTGATGTACTTTAGCTGCTCTTAAGACTTCTCCAATATTTCTTTTGACGTTCCTAACATATAGTCTTGCATGTCTCAAGCTTGTCTAATGAAATCTGTACTTAGATTACGTGTGACTAAAGGGGCTTCTGAAACTTGGAATTCTGATTGTAGCATATGACACTGTTTTTTGGGCTCCCAGAAAATTACTGATCACTCGGGCTTATATTTGTACCTTACCTGTGAGACGAATCTTATAATATAGAGCAAAATACCTTTTCTTTTTATCAAGAGGCCTTTCCTTTCTCTTCTCTGGTTCATGTGCATGCTACAAAATACCCAAGGCTGCGAGGCATTGTGTTACCCAGACAATTTCAAAAAAAGTCTTCACAATCTCCTGGAACCTGAATTATGCTGGATCTCTAAGTGCTTTTCAGTAGAATCTATCGTTTCAATGACACCCCAGGTTCGATGATCACACACGTCTCTCATTTGTGCCCTATTCGAGAGCTTCTATTCAGCGGACCACGAGTTACCGGATATTACAAACAAACCCACTGATCTACAGAATCTTCTTGATCATGCTCAAATGTGAAACCCCTTTCCTGATTGATTTTGGCGACAACGCACAATATTTGGTAAGTTGTTTCCGCTGAGTACTAGAATAATATTGGGCAACAAAAATGTCTATACCATGCTGCTAGGCACAAGATGATAGAGGCATTCAATGTGCGCGTCCCCAAAACTTCAGACCACTCGAGTTCCACCAATGTCACCAGGCAATGGGCATATCGAAATTCAAATACCGGCGGAAGAATTCTCAATACGGAGTTTGAAAATTCACGTGAACTGAAATGTGCACAATTTGACATTTGTAGACGCTCTTCATGAAGAATTTCGGAAAGTCTCTCAGCATAACACTCCCGTCCGACTTTGGCATGACATTCCCATACACTGAAAAAGGCCTTTGCCTGGTTTGAAATCCTTGACAATTACACAGGTGCTCGAGCAAGCTCCCTTCCTCCAAACTCTAGTTGCAGTCGAAGAATAATTTTGAAGCCGGACCGAATCTTTCGAAAACATACAGCGTTTTGTGTATTCATGTATTCATGCCATGCAGTCAAATAAAAATTACCAGGAGGCCGGTCAAACACAAGAATTGATTACATCGGGGAAATCTCGCGCTGGATTTTGGAAGACATCAACCAGCTGGCATATTGCACCGGGTGCTTTGGGAGCTGGATGGATTGTCCAATGGATCCTCTGTGAGAATCGCCACGTTCAATGTGTTTGTATTTGGACCTATTTACGAACGAGTGGAAGAGGCCCGGGCGTGGCGTGATTGTCATGGACAGTAATTGCCATGGACAATCCAGTTACTAGTCCATCACGCCCGGGGCAATTCAAACGAGCCGCCGAATACTGTGTTCGCAGCAAATTTCTGGGGTGGAACCCGACCAGTCACTACGTCACCGAGCAGACGCAAATACACCAGGTATACTGTAGCAAGGTGACGCCAAAATGCAATCCGGTTTGTTTCTACTTCTGGGCACCGCGCTGCTTCGGATGCCTATAAGCTGGCGCCACAGCCCGACGTCTGCGGATAATTGTCCATACTTGCGTGGCCGTACTTGTCTTCAAGAATCTTGTGTCATCGACAGTGACTAGAGATATAGACGCAAGCAAGGAACGGGCTCTGCCCCTTCCTGAGAGTCCGACCGACAGGCTGGGCTACGAAAGTAACCCGGACCACGTTGAAATGCAACAAGAACATTGAAAGACCGTTGTGCATTGATGACTCCTGGAAATACCCGCCATGAACAAGGCAAGGGGCCAGTGCATTCAGATCTACTAGGACGCGAGTCAGCGTCCATAGTCCAGCGAGCCCGAGGGAACATCAACGTTTTGGGGAGCAGGGCGGCTGCCCAGCCAGACCCATGGAGCTGAGCTGCAGACGCCAATCCCCCGTTGTGTGTAGCACAGGTGCACAGCCTGTCAGCTATAGAAGTGGCTGGGCACACACTCCTTGATCCAGGCAAACGCATCGGTCTCGAGCGCCTCCTCGACCGTCGGGCGCTTCTCCTTGCGCACCAAGAACGTGTCGACGAGCGCCTGGAGATCACCGACGATTTTGCGGGCCTCCGGGTCCATGTCATTGTCGTGGCGTATGGCCACCGCACGGTACCACTCCCAATCGATCATGGCGATGCGGTGGGCCGGGCTGTGCCTGCTGCGGCGGCGGCGCGGCGCGGAGGGAGACACGCCAGCCTGCTGCAAGAGGTCCGGCGAGGGCATGTCGAACGGGAGCCTGTTCTCGATGATACTGTACACGAGCACGCCGAGGGCCCACGCGTCCAAGAGCTTTCCGGAGTAGTGGAGCCCCATGAGGAGCTCGGGGCTCACGTAGTCCTGCGAGCCGCACTTGGTGGAGAGGAGCTGGTCGTGCAGGGCGAGCCGCTTGGAGAGCCCAAAGTCCGTGATGGTGGCCACGGGCCGGCTCAGGCGGCGCGGGTCGGGCGCGGGCCCCGTGCACACGAAGCGCTCGTTGAGCAACACGTTCTCGAGCTTGATGTCGCGGTGGATGATGCGCTGGCGGTGCATGTGCACCACGGCCACCACGACCTCCGCCACCACGCGGGCCACGAGCTGCCAGAAGCGGAGCGTGCGGCTCAGGCCGTGGTAGTGCGCCAGGAGCCACGAGAACAAGTTGCCGCCACGGCAGTAGCCGAGGAAGAAGAGCTGCTGCGCGTCGGCCGTCTGCGAGAGGTCTTCTGCGACGGGCGGGCTGCCGCCGTTGTCGTAGGACGCGCGGATCTGCAGCGGCGTGATGAGCGGCGTCACGCTGTAGTCAAGGAGCGTGACGATGCAGGGGTGGTGCAAGTGGGCCAAGAGCCCGAGCTCGCGCACAATGAACGCGCGGAAACTGGACACGGACGTGGACCCGTCGCGCGGGAACAGCACGATCTTGACCGCCACCTCCAGCGCCGGGTCCGCCGCGTCGCGGGCACGCGCCACCGTGCTGAACGCGCCCGTGCCCACCACGTCCTCGCACACGTACGTGCGGCCGGAGGCCGGCGCGTGCAATACACGGCCCTGGAGCGGCGGCTGCTCGGGCTCTTGGGCCGGCAGCGGCACTGCCCGCGGCACGCCGGCCACGGGCGCACCCGGGTTGGAGATGTGTCGCGTGGGCGGCTGGGTGGTCGGCAGCACGGGCACCAGGAGCGGCTCCGGGTCGAACGCCGACACGATCCGTGCACGGCCGGCCGCCACGGGCGTGGTGCTGCGCTTGGCCACGTCTATTTTCACGGGCAGCACCGCGGGGAACGCGCCGCAGGGCATCACGGGCGTCGGGAGCTGTGTGACGCTGTGCAACTCCGGCAGCGGCGAGGTGTCTGTGGCCGTGTCGGTGACGGAGTACTGGAACGCGCCGGCGAGCGCGTGCTGGCCGGGCGAGCGGGGCACCTCGATGCGCAAGTCCCGCTGCGCCGCGTGCAGCTTCTGCAGCGGGGCCTGCGCGTGCCGGGGCGCCGTGTTTGTGGCGAGGTACGGCGGGAAGTCGTTGCCGGCGCCCGTGTTTGTGGCGAGGTACGGCGGACCGGCCATGGTGGGCTTTTCGGCAGAAGCGGGGCGGGGCCAGGCGTCAAAAGCAGCGCGGGCTCAGGGGCCGGCGGCTATCGTTTTTGTGTCGTGGGGCCTTGCGAGCCTCAACAAAACAGCGGGGTAGACGCCGGAGGGCTCTGCACAAAAACAGCCAGATGGTACGAGCAGGCGGGTCTGTGGCGCTGGGAGGACACAGAGCACGAAGTCAAAGGGGCGGCAGAAAAAAGGAAAAGAAACGGATCGCTCAAACGCAAACGACACCCAGAAGAAAGAAAGAGTAGGGGGTGTTGGCGGTGATTTTTTGGGTCCCCAAAAGCCATCGGTCGGGACAGCAGGTCGTTATCTCTTGCGCGCGTGATGCACGGTGGGAAGCGCAACGCCGCGTGTGTGCAGGCCACGCATGAGCGGCCGCGTAGGCAGCTCTGAGCTGCGCCGGTGTGGGGAACCGGGCTCGACGGCCGGGGCTGCTTGCGGCATCCGTAACCTATTGACTTGGGCACGCTTTTTTTTTCTTATTCTATCTTTTTTTTGTTCCTTTTTTGAAGACCAGAGCGAGAAACGAGGAAAACAAAAAGTCGGCGCCCGGGTTTGCTGGCAGACGCGCCGCACGCCACACGCATGCAGGCTCACGTGCCGGTGTGCATGGACAAGCCCGGTGGCAGCCGCCCGCCTTGTGTCCCAATCCGGGGGGAGGGGAGGGGGCAAGAAAATTTGGTGGAACAGCAAGGGCTGTGTCTGTCTGGCTCAGCCTTGGTGGTACGGCTGGAAAAGAACAAAGACGAGGCGCGGGCACCTGGACATACCCCATTTGGCGTTTTTCTTGCGTGCAATCATACTATTATGATGCCGCGCATTGAGACAACTCTTGAGACGCCGCGCAGAATGACACCGCACGGGGCCGTGTGTGCAGGCTGCTAGTTGACGCCACGGCATATAGCGGCGCCGCGCGGTCGCGCCGTTGCGACTATTCCGAATTGCCCCGTGCACCGCGCCAGGATCCCCTCTCTGGTGTTCCCCATTTGAAGAAGACCGTGGGAAACCTTCCGTTTGTGGCTGTCTGGCACTGCATGGGAAAACCTCTTGTACTGGCGCTGCTTGGGGCCAGAGGTGTGCGCGGGGTTCCAAAGGAATGCCGGGAAAATCAGCAGTTCTTGTGGGTTCCCCGCTGCAGGGAAATGCCAAGTCGCGTGCTACATGTTGACCATTGGGAGCCGTGTTTACTATTGAGCAGAACTACTGCCTGGCATGGCTCATAATGAGCTGACAATGGGATTTCGGCACACGCTGGACATTCTCATCTCTGGACACCCTGTGCCAGCAAAGAACAACAAAGGGCGTACCCAAGCCTTCTTGAGCCTTGCCGAGCACGTGACTTCCTGCTTCCGTGAACGTGGCGTGGGCCGTAGCTTTCAAGCCTTGCAAGCCCATACACATGCTCAATCCCGGGCACTTGGAAACCCCAAACGGAGCACCAACGATTTGGGCAGCCGTCTCAGTTCGTGTGAAAGGGCCGCATGCCATCACGTTTGAATCCGGGGATGTGATGTAGATATAGAGCAAAACTGCGTCGTGCGGTGCGTCCTGCATGCACGCGCGTGCTTCCGGTTAAAAAGGCAACCGTGTCGCGGTTGACGGCCGGCATGTCCTGCGGCGGCGCGCATGATTTCCGAGGAAAAGTGAGCCGTGGCAATGCGTGTCGCGGCGCTTTTGAGACGAAATAGTCGCGGCGCTTTTGAGACGAAATAGTCGCGGGCACAACGGCCGCGTCTGCATTGTGCCAATGTTGATTCTTGGGCACTGTGCCAATGTTGTTCTTTTGAGTGTTTGTCTTTGACGTTCTGGTTTCAGTGTTGTTCTGCACACGTCCTGATTTCTGCGAATGACCGGCGTTGAATATTCCTACGGCTTGAACGGAATGTAAAAAGAACATGGGGCGCCATCAACAGCATACTCATTCACGCTGCGCTTCGAGAAGGAGTACCAGTCTGGTTCACTTTGGTCCTCCCGTTCAGACCCCACAACAATCCTTGCGTCAGCGCTAATATCTCGTCCAGACGGGCTTCCTTGGTGATGATGGTAAGCGCCCATCTTGTGGTCCATCTCAGTAGTCTTGTGGTCGATCTCAGTAGTCTTGTGGTCCATCTCAGTAGTCTTGTGGTCGATCTCAGTAGTCTTGTGGTCGATCTCAGTAGTCTTGTGGTCGATCTCAGTAGTCTTGTGGCCCATCTCAGTATTCTTGTCTGCTCGTGTCACTCTGGGTGAATCTTGGCCTGAAATCATAATCATCACCCTTGCCATATTGAGCTCACTCTCACCATTCAACTCACTGGGAAGTACTCAAATCAACTCCTTGTAGTGACCCGACCTCACCCAGGCCACGGTCTCTGTATTCCTCGTTCACTCAACACCTCTACAAGAAGCCCTCTAGCACACGGTGTGCCTTTTCAAGCCTCTCGATTCCAACATCAAAGCGGTTTTTGTCCGTGACCATGTCCAGCGTCAATCTGCTCAACAGATCAATGACCTTTTCAATGAGCTGCTGCTCCTGGATGGGCAAGTTCAACTGCCGGAACTCCTCGCCCACCACTGTGCCGTTCATGCTTTCAAGCAAATGCACAAGCGTATCATAGGAAAACGGCTTGACTTGCAGGCCAGGAGCGGGGTCTTTATTCCTAAGCCGCCGTGACCGGCGCCGGGTGTTTCTTCGCTGAGGGAGCTTGGTGTGGTCTTTGACGGATTTGGCCCTTGTGGGGAAGGGCACGACCACGGGCTCCTCGATGTCGTAGAAGCCATCGTCTTCTTCGGGAAAAGTAGGCGGATTTTCCGAAACTGAGTCTGGCTTTCCCATAGCAGATTCTGGCTTTCCCATAGCAGAATCTGGCTCTACCGCACCAGAACCTGGGGTTTCGAGACCGGTGCTCCGCTTGACCAAACCCAAGTCTGGATTTTCCAAGCCCGGGCTCGTGTCTCCAGGATCACAGGCCAGGCCAGAGCCACTGCCCGTTTTTTCCTCAGAGCCAGCCGCCGTGCTGGAGGCAGGCCGCTCTTCTCGCGGCAGAGCCAAATTTTGAGACGGCAAAGAAACCAGCGACTTGCGGCTATCAGGGCAAGACGCCACCACCCCGCTGCCAACTTGTTTGAGGTCCACAGTGAGGTCCGAGAACGTGGCTGCCGTGTCGTTGCGGCCGGTCATCACAGGCCGCCGCATGCGGTCCACTCGGAGGTGTTCCCCCGTGGAAGCGTCCAGCTGTGTCCAGCTGTGCCTGCTGCTGCCACTACCTAAAGACTTTCCAAGGACCGCACTGCTTCTCGAATGCAGCCGGTCCACCGAGGGGTAGCAGGACGAGACCAGGCTGGGAGGGCGTGGGACGGGCAGGCTGGGGGTTTCCGCGTCCAACTGCACGGGCCGGCTATCCATGCTCTTGCCCAAATATGGCCTATTTTCAAACAGCCCCACATCCTCTGCCAGGCCCGCGGCGGCTGGCCACGTGCCCGAGGAGACCCGGTCCGAGCCACTGGACATCGACCCGGTCTCGCCAAACAGGGCCCGGCCGCGGGCGCCGGCCCGCTCCTGGGCTTGCGACGCCGAAACTTGGCGTGCCCGGCTCATTGCTCGGGCATCAGGCCGGCGCGGGAGTTGGCGGTCTTCCACGGCCCGCTCCGGGCTGCCCCCGAGCGAAAGCTCCTCGGCCGTCTGGAAGCTTTCCTTGGAGATACTCATGGTCAGAGAAGACGGCGCTCGCGCAACTGCGCCCGTGAGGTCGGTCCCGGCGCCATACGTGAGATCTGACGCGGACTCCATGAGCCGCAGCAAGTTGTCGCTGATGTCCAACGAGCGCCGGTGGCGGAGCCCGCGTTGTGCAGATTCCAGGGGCCCCAGGGATACGATGATTTCGCTGACCGGACGCCGGCGCAGGCGTGGCGGCACCACTTCTTGGATGGCGGTGCTGACGCTGATTGCCGGTGGATTGCGCGGGTTGGTGGAGCTCCGGATGGTGTCGAGACGGCCCAACGGCATGGTGCCGGAGGAGGCCAAGGAGTCGGAATCTTCGGCCTGGTCGGGGGCCATGCAGGCGTCCAAAGCGGCGGCCGACTGCGGCGACAGGCCGCGCACATAGGTGTGCTTGACGGGCCCAGCAGCCCCCCGCTGCTCGTCCACCACCGAGAGCTGGATGGCCTCGCCGATTTCCGAGGGGTTGTACGAATCGGTGGAGAGCATGGAGGCCGAAGAGTCGCGTGGACTTGGCTGGCGCGATTTGGGTGGCGGGGGGAGCCAGCCCAAGGTTTCGGGCTGTTTCCCGGGGGTGGTTTTGGCGGGGCGGGGCGACGCGGCCTCCGAGCCAGAACTCATGGTGGAATTGAAGGATCGACGGGTGCGATTGATGGTAGCAGGACAAATGCGCTGGGCTGCACGGGTATGTTGCCACAGCTTTTTCTCTCTTTTAGAGGGCTGCGGCTGGTCTTGGGTGGTGAGGAGATGCTATTACGAGCGTCAGGCGGGGACAGAAAAGACGGGATCAGGGCACGATGGGTCAGGGCCCGCGGCGTGTTGTGAAAGCGGCCGGATGCGGAAACGTAATTGCTGCAGCGGGGCTTGGCGCTGGCCGCGAACGCACTCGGAGCGGTTTTCGTACGGGGTCCTGCGCTCGCATATTCGCCGCACCGGCTCTCCTGTCCCCGGTTCACACTTGTCCCCGGTTCCCACTTGTCCCCGGTTCCCACTTGTCCCCGGTTCCCACTTGTCCCCGGTTCCCACTTGTCGAATAACTACTCCCGTCTTGTCTCCGATCTCTGGCCAGCCCATGAAAGACAGCAGAGTGCCGTGGGCATAAATCAACACAAAGTCGAAAACATGTCTACCTTAGGTCACCCCATCCGTTCACCAATAAAAAAAGCTTCGTTGGCCGTCTTCCCGGGTTGCAATTGCAGCAAGCATTTGCACACGCTTCCGCCGCTAGCGCTGAACCGCAAAGTTCTGGATATCTAAAATCTGTACTTATCAAGGGTGACAAGAGACTTTTGATTTATTTCCACATTCATCCAAAAAGTCTACAGCCGAGCCAGTGGAGTCTAGTAGTGTCTTTGTATTCTACTTGGCGGCTAAGCGTACTTGGTTGCCGCGCTAAATGTGTACTGCACATTGTGTCAGAGAGACATGACGCGACAGAGTAGGCCTTCTACAAGCCAGCTGCGCTACTGCGAATTAACTACCGACTCCGGCAATATATACATGCCTGTCAGTATATATGGCTTCTCCTGCAGCAGGGAAGCTTTGGGGAAAAGGCCCGATTTAGACCAACAGCAAATGACACTAGACTCCTTGCTTTAAACAAAAATCATACTGGTCCCACAGAGCCTGCGAGAAGGCCCAAAGTATCAGGGACCATTACTCCAGTCGGAGCTCCTTTGGGTTGTTTATTTATTTTGTGCGCGGTTTGTTCATCATTTTCAACCCGACAACTGGGTTTGCGGAGTCATACCCTTGGGATTCATACACAGGCGGATCAATCAAAGCAGTGTTCACGGGGGCTGGTCTCATGTAGATACGTGAGGGCTTGGTGGCTTTTTCAGCAACGAGCAGTATTTATGGCTTGTTTTACGAAGGCGGCGATTGTGTCTTGCTGCTGCATGGTGGCAGTTTTTTACAGTGTATGGGCCTTTTCATTCCTATCTTCATGCTGATCATGCGAGACCAAGACGCTCGAACCCTTATCCGGGATCCTGTTTGGGTGTCGTGGCATAGATATCATTGGCCCGCCTTTCTGGATCTTGCGCCGGAACCTTTCTGACTGATCCAGACCTTTCTGACTGATCCTGACCTTTCTGACTGATCCTGACCTTTCTGACTGATCTTTATTTTCCTAATTGATCCAGTGAAGCTACGAAGAATCCAGACATTTCTGACTGATCCAGATCTTTTAATTGATCCAAAGAAGCTACGAAAAATCGCGGTGGCATCTGAAGAGGCCCCGGTCCGCCACAAGAAATACGACGCCCGGGCAGATGCTGTCAGTGTGTATCCTGATCACAGACATTCTGCGGCAACTGCTCGAATGTTTGCTGTATTCTAGTTCAATGATGGTTTATTTGGTGCAAGGACGTCAATTTGACAAGCTTTGTTTCCCGCCTTTCACGGACCAAAACAATCATTTGCATAGACACACATCGAGATATTGATACAAATACCTGGAAATGCCTCTCTCTTAGAATGTTTCTCAAGAAAAAAAGGGGGGCAGCTCACAACGAACCTCGTTTAGTGAAATTTCAACGAGGTCTTCATTGCTGCATGTTAGTGTTTCCCGTGAATAAGCTCAATTCTTCAGCCCAAATTGGTGAACCGGGGCTGGCTCTGGTCCAACTACAGAAAAGGAAGACGAAGTACAAAACGGTTCTGAGAACCTAGAAATATGGGCCGTGGACTGATTGGGGCAGTAATCACAAGGCCACAGGGCAAGGTGTTTCTGGCACTCTCGCGACACTGGGCCGACAAGCCAAAATCAAAACCACTCCATTAGGTCGTTTGCGAGGATCGGTGCTCAAAACAACTAGGGGGACGTGATATCTTGGCTGACTCTACATCCACACATCATACCCGGATTCCGCTCGCCATTAATACTCTTACTTCGAAGCGTGGCATGAGGTCCGAAGCCTCGGGTCGAACACAGTGTTTGCGACGTCGACCTGAGTCCACTGAGTATAAAACGCTACGTGTTACAGGTGCGGGGATTGAGATATGACCGGTATGTTGCTCGCCATTCTTCCAAAAGTGCTCTCTTCTATAAGCGCTAGAAGGCTCACGAGAGTTTATCAAGACATCAACTGCACGACTTTGAAGGCGCTACACAAGCAAGCATGACTGGGTTATGACCCTATAGTCTTTGATTCACTCATGTCATTGCACACTGCGGACAGATACTGATGCCATGACTAAATGCCCGTTTTATCTCAAAGCAGTTCAAAGGGATGAGCTTCTGGGCCATTCTATAGTCCTTGTGAAGCACCGAACTCTGAGGCCATAAGAACTGGTGCATAGTGCCCACATATCTTCAATACTCTTTCCGCTGGACACATCATTCGTCAATCTGCGCAAATTTGTGGTTTATTGGGGGTGGGCAGATTTCTACAGCCAGGCAGGAGACAGAGACCGCACCTTTAGTCCTCCTGCTGGGAGACGGCTTCTCGGATGGACCGATGACAAGGGTTTCCACAGCAATTTGGCAGGTGCTGTCATTTTGAGCGGATAATTGCACTCGCGCTTTTAAGCGGGGCTCTATGTTAGGCCTGGTGCCTCGACTCATGCTTACATTTCGACTTGTATGTTCTTCTTCACAGTTGGCGCCAGAAGTATGCGCGTCACGGCGAGTTCGGAACGTCCCCCGGTTCGCGTGTTCCCGGTTCTCGTGTTCCCGGATATGCGCGGCCCCCGGATATGCGCGGCCCCCCGGAATCGCCCTTCGCCACGCACCAACTGGCCTTGTCATGTCCGTCCCTCGCCCCATGTCTCGCTACAATGGGCTGTCCTTTTTCGCCAGGGCCCCGCTTACTTACGAGACGCTCGCTGAAAGATGCCGTGTTTTTGGCCGCCAAAACAAGCACCCGCCAGCACAGCTTGTGGACTACATTTTGGCCAACAGAAAGTTGCAGAAAATCAACCGGGGCCTCGGGACGGGCCTCCGATTCGGCACGCTAGGCTCGTCCCTCGGCCTCCCGCTCAATGTTTCCAGTGCCCGGCTTGAGCAGGATCTCTGGCTGTTTGTGTGCAAATATTGGGCCCCGTGCGTGGCCTCGGATCACGTGGTCACGACCTATGTGTGCACCAACAAGAACGGCAATGTCAGCACGCTGTTTCGCCTTGTGCGAGAGAACTTTGCTTCCAAGCTCAGCGGCAACGTGTGGCCAAGCACTGGGCCGGTGACGGCGCTCACCCACGTGCTTCTCCGGGAAAACGATTTCCACGGTTGCTTCAGGTTGATCGATGATACCGTAAACAGCGCAGAATCGATGGATCTTCGAAGGCACCAGCTTCTCCGGCAAGCCGCAAAAACAGGCGTGGCTGCCTTCACGTGTGGACTAGGCCTCTCTGTATGGTACACCCTGCTCGCCACGTCAGACATACTCGGCTTGCTCGATGGGGTCGCCGATTTGTGGCCCGTTCTTGCCCTAAGTCTAGCCTCTGGCCTTGGCACTTTCCTCGGGTTTCAGTGGCTCAAGGCGGCGAGCCTCCCCCGGATTCTGTGGAGACCGCACACGAGCATGTGGCACCGCGTGTTGCACTTTGAAGAGGCGCTGTTCGTGAACAAGATCGTCACGTATTACGAGGAGTACAACGAGGTCAACGTCAAGAACTTCCATTTGTCGGAGGTGCGCGAGCAGGCTCGGCTGGATGTCTTGGACCAGAGTGACTACGAGCTCCATCTCCCGGACCCGGCCAGTGGTGCGGACGACCACGATAAGATCCATGCAACAGAGGCATTGACGCGCTATTTCCGCCAGGAGTTGTATCTGCGCAAAATGGTGTGGCGGCCATTTAAGGAGCAAAAGATGTTTTTGGACTTCTGGCTCAGCCACGGCGACTCCTACGAGTGGGTTGAGCCGGACCAGGATCCTGCGGAAATGGCCTTTTTACGGCCACTCGAAGACGCCGCGAAGCCGGTGCTCTCTTTGGGGTCCGGTGTTCAGGCAAGAGGCTCAAATACTAGGTTCTGACGAGTGTGGGCTATGTCGAAGTGGGGGCTGCCGTCTCGTTCTTGTTTCGGAGTGTGAAGAGTTCGCGTTGTTGGCTCCTGCTGGCTCAGAAGCTGAACCAATGCGGCTTGCTGAGACGGGCAATGGTATTTCTGCGCAATGCACGAGTCTCCTACATGTATGGACTTCAGGAGATGGGCAGGGTCAACCACATCGATGGGTTCAGCATTTAGTGAGTATGAATGTGCAGTTTGTTGGCGCCAAGGATGTGGGGAACGTCAAACTCTCATTTTATTTCAGACAATGCGTTTTGAAAGGGGAGACTGCCAAAAAAACTGGCAATTTTTCAAATCAAACGGACCTGCTCTTTTGCTATCTTGGCATCCAGCGGTGTAAATGATCCACTTTGTTCCATGTACCCGAACTGCTGCTCAAATATCTCGAGGCTATGTCTACACAATTGATTATCATTTACAAATTGCATAGTCTCGCGCTTTACAAGAGGTCAAAATTTTCAACAAGTCTAGGGCACAGTATTAGATTTTTCTAGGAACAGTTCCGAAGAGCACTTTCCTGACGAACAAACTCAGGCAAAGTATTCACAACTTTGTCGGGCGGGTGGCAGGGGGAGATCTAGTGGAAATCTATTTATCGTCGATTGCGTTTTTCAGCGTTTGAATGAGAGAACAGACAGCCCTCCTCCATTCGCCAATTTCACTGGGGTACGCGAAAATTCAAAACCCAGGTATAAACTGGAGCTGCTTTGCTGCGTGTGCTTGTATGAAGGGAGGTTACTAATACTGCAGTGGAACACCTGATACACAGCAGCAGTGTAGCTTCGAGCACCACCAAAGTCCAAAAATTTTCAAGCTTGGACGGCTATAATTTCTTCGTGAGCGTCACCAATTCAAAACCGAGGCAACACAAGCTGGCGTTGACTTTGACCAGGTGCTGGTATGCAGAGGTCCGAAAGTCATGTGACTGTCAAATGAAAGACAGCGCTACGCGTATAAATGTTGAGTCATGGTAATTCAACGGCTCATAACATCGAAGAACTTGAGACGTGGTCAACGGGCCATGTAGCTGGCAATGCCTGGTAAAGTTTCCACAACTGCTCTCTGTATATTCATTAAGCTTTTGTGACTTTTAGCACAATTCATCACAAGTCATCGAGAATTCACATACACCAGCATCAAGCCGAGCCATTTCAGTTTCCTGCTCCACTATACTTTGTTACACTTCAGTACTCCGGTATACACCACACACTCTATTATTCTCCATTACACTGTATTACCCTCTATCACGTCATGCTGTGATATACTCTAGCATCCTCAAACGTCGTTCAGTATACTCTAATATTATCTAACGTAGCTCAGTATACTCTAATATTATCTAACGTAGCTCAGTATACTCTGATATTCTCTAACGTAGTTCAGTATACTCTAACATTCTCTAACGTAGTTCAGTATACTCTAACATTCTCCAACGTAGCTCAGTATTCTCCGATACCCGCGATCATAAGCATAACCGAATATACTTAGCATGATCTAGTCTTCTCTAGTTCACTATGGCGCGCACGACCATAACAACGCGTTTGTGTGCAGGCGCGAACAGCACAAACCCAAACTCTGGGGAACCGCACCCCGGATTTTCTTCGTACTCCTTTTCTTCGTACTCCTTTTCTTCTTCTTTGCCGCCGACCCCGTGCCGGGCCCTACACCCCTTTTCTCTGTATATAGTATATGTCTTTCGTCGAGCTTCCGCCGGCGGGCCCTGCGCCCGTTTCTGTGGTGAGTTTTTCTGTGCCGGCTGACGACACCCTTCTCGTGGCAGCCTACGACCGCTCCGTGCGGCTATATAATTGCAAGCGGCGCTCGACAACGGCAAGCCTCGCGGCGCCGGCGCCGGTGCTTTGCGTAGCATACTCGCCATACAGGACGTCGTTTGCCGGGCTCTTGGACGGCACCATCCGCCAGCTCGACTACGAAAACTTGGCGGTGTCGGCGCCCGTGGTTTCCGCCGCGGGCCGCGCGGACGAAGGCTCCGGGACTGGAAACGGCATCAACTGTTTCCGGCCGCTGGACACCTCGCTGTTTGTGGCCACCACGTTCGGCGGCACCATGCTCCGCTTCGACCCGAGGGCCCTGCGCGTGGCCCACACGCAGCAGCTCCGTGGCAAGGCCTTGGCCATGGACACGTGTGGGCACCTTGTGACGGTGGCGCTCCTGCAGCAGGCCGTGGAAATCCACGATGTGCGCAAGTGGGGGGCGCCCGTTCTGACCCGGGCCTCGGGGCTCCGGTTTCAGGCCCTGGCGCTCCGGGCGTTTCCCTCGGGTGAGGGCTATGTGCTCAGCAGCGTGGACGGGCGGGTTTCGGTTGAATACTACGACGATCTGGCCGCGGCTCAGACGCAAAAGTTTGCGTTCAAATGCCACCGTGTCCGGGCGCCTGCGGGCGGCGAGGATGCCGTGTATCCGGTGACAGGGCTCCGGTTCCACCCGGTCCACGGCACCTTGTTCACTGCGGGTGGCGACGGAAATGTGTGTGTGTGGAACTGGGAAAAACGGAAACGAATGAAGCTTTTGGCCCACGGGCTCGAGCTGCCGAGGGCCATATCGCACATGGACCTTTCTGCAGACGGCGCGTATGTGGCGGTGTCTGTCGATGACGATTCATACTCTAGAACCGGTGGAGCGCAAGCGGCGGCGAGGGGAGGACGGGTTTTGGTTAGACCGTTGGGTGACGCAGAGTGCAAACCCAGAACGTGATTGCAGGATGAGAAAGTGAGACTGGAAACTCCGGGGTGAAAGTGAAATTGTATATACTGGGGAACTCATAGGGGTTCATTGAGCTGTGGCTTGGAGTCGCTCAGGTGAAACGCGGTGGAAATACCGCTTTATGGCCGTGGCCTCTGGCCGCAATGACGGCTGCTTGCAGCAGGTGGCGAATGCCTGGGATGGTGTAATAGAGCTGTAAAGGTGAGCTATCACTGCAATGGTGGGTTATCACTGGAGTGGTGGGTTATCATTGGAATTGTGTTGTATCACTGGAACCGTGGGTTACAACTCGAATTGTAAGTTCGAGCTGAAATCGTGGATTGCAGCAGGAACGACTCCATCGAACCCCGAATCTCAAGACAAGTGCTGTATCCCCGAAAACTTTTGCCGGCCGAAAGCTCTTCTTCAGCACGATTGTCTGGTGAACGAAAGTCAAACGGCGAATTAATTGAACTTTTTGGAGAAGATGACCACTTGCTGCATGGAAGAATTGAGACGCTTGATGAAAACAGAAATCTGCGCAAAGACAGCAGGGCTATACGTGGTACCGAGATCCTTTGCAGTGGAACAGTTCTCATTAACAAGAAAAGTTCTTTACTGGGACTTCATCTAGGGCCAAAGGCGTTTTCTCTAATCTATTCATTATTCACATGAATCATTCAGGGCATCTGGCCGATAAGTTTGGCCCTTTTTGTGGATTCACTGGACCCCGCGCTTCCAACAGCAGATTGCAAAGTCCGACTACCTATTCTTTATGACTACCAAGTGGTGGCTGTCCTATTTGATATAACTGGCTTTTTGGAGAAAATACGTCTATTAGCAGACAATCTCCGAATGCCTGAAACGCAAGGATGCTGAGCCGCGCAAGTAAGATCACCCAAGAATCCACAAAAATTTGTATCTACAAAAAAAGGTACTCCAAAACACGCAGACCTAGATGATTAGGTATTTCACATCCACACAATTTTTTTTTGCTTTTTGTTTTGTTTTCACCTGGAGGCTCCCTTTTCCAGATCCCGAATCATAGCCCGGCGTTCCCCGTCTATGCAGGCCGCATGTGCGGCTGCTCGGCATCTCATTCCACTGCCTGCCTACCATCTGCAAATCGCGAGCAAAAAACTCAGGTCAAGAAGCTGGAAATCCTTGTTTCTTATTGTTGCACCCAATAAAGCTGGCCGAATATAATAAATCTGTCCGGCGCTTCTTGTCTCGTTTATTTCCAAACCCCACCCTTCAGAACATACTTTTAGCATCTCGTGCTTTTTTTCGTGATGCTGTTTGACGAACGAACACTGAGCTTCCTCACGTGGCTTATGCAAAACGCCGTAACCACTTCTCCCAAGATCCGAATCAGCGACTTTCGCAGCTCTGGCCAGGGCAGATGCGTTGTTGCCACAGACGAAATAATGGAAGATGAGGAGCTCTTTTCCATACCGAGATCAGCCATTTTGAATGTGCAATCTAGCTCGTTGGCGAAGGAACATGCTGGAGCAGAACTGGTTTTGGCCCAGATGACCCAATGGGACGCGCTTGTTTTAGTGCTTCTTTATGAGTGGAAGGTCAAAGCAACCAGCCTGCCATGGTGGGAATATTTCAATGTTTTGCCCTTAAACGACGAGTCGTACGCGTCCAATCAGTTGATTTATTGGGACGACACGGAACTCAGCCACTTGGCCCCATCCTACATTGTGGACCGTATCGGACATAACTCGGCCAATGCCATGTACGACAGGCTAGTTCCCCACTTTGAAAAATTTGTGGGCACGGTGACCAAAGATGAGTTCCGCAAAGTGGCGTCTGTGATCATGTCTTACTCGTTTGATGTCGGGTCTAAAGATGTAGACGACGATGAAGACAACGACGAGGTCAGTGATGACGAGGTCGAGAGCAGTCATTCCCATGCCAAAAAAACGGATATTGTCAGCGAGACTGACGAACATGAAAACTCTCAAGATAATCAAGGGAATCAGGAAACCCAAGGCCAGATTAGCCATCAAACTCAAGAAACCGACGAGATTCAAGAGGAGAATAATCAGTCGCAAGAATCTCAACAATCCCACGAAGCTCAAGAAGCCCAAGAAGCCGAAGAAGCCCAAGAAGACCTCGTGAAAGACTCTGATTACCTCAAATCAATGGTTCCTCTCGCAGACACGTTGAATGCCGACACAGCTAAACATAATGCAAGCTTGTTTATCACGGCGGACCATCTAGTCATGCGCAGCATCAAGCCAATTGCAAAAAACGATCAAATATACAACATCTACGCCGAGCATCCCAATTCAGAAATTCTTCGAAGATACGGCTACGTCGAGCAACAAGGCCTGGCTCACGATTTTGCCGAGGTGTCGCTAGCGACATTCAAGAAGTACTTTGCGGAAAATTCCAGTCTTTCGAAAGACACTATCGATGAAATCTTGGCCATCTTGGAGGAGATCGAGATCGAGGAAGACGAAAAGTTTGTGCTTGAATCCTACGACTGCTTTGGCTCGGGTGAGGTGATCTTCGAGTTGACCTTCCTCACGCAGCTTTTTGTCATCATAGCGGCAATCAACCACAAGAAGTCTTTCAACTCCGCGTCGCTAGAGGTCAAGGCCCGGGCAATTCGCAGGGTGTACAAAAAGACGTACCAGCTTCTTGAAAGCAGGCGGCTCACAAAGCAATTTATGAAGGATTTTCCCAGCATCCTCAAAGTCAGACTCAGTGAGTATCCACGAAAGGCAACTCGCGGCTTTTCGCCGTCTAGAGACACCCCACTCACCAGACAGGAAATGGCCATGGCCGTGTTGACATCTGAATGCGTGTCTTTGCAGAATTGCATGGACACCGAGAAGGTTTTCACCAAGGGAGAGCAGGAGTTCAGCGTCATCGACGACGAAAAACTCTTACGGAACATCATGCAAAAAAACACTTTCGAAGGCTCTGAAACCCAGCCATCCAAGAAAAAGAGAATGAGCTAGATATCAGCGATATCTGGCATGTCACTGATAAGGGGCTTCAGATTGCAAGTATGGCCCATCGAGCACTTAAATGTGTTCTCATGAGGGTGAGGGTGGCTTCTGGCCCTTTGGGTCTTGATTACATAGGTCCTGGTCAACCCCAGGTATATCATTGACAAATCTTTATTCGTTATTACTAGGGCAGCGTTGCGGAAGTTCTGTGGGATGGGCTTATATGTATATGGACTATGGATCAGACAGCCTTGCCCACGTCGCGTGTGCTACTTGGATTCGTTGTTGTCATCTGCAGTGGCTGTATTTTTCACCACAATCGGACGACGTCTCACCACTTCAAACCCCTTTTCTTTTTTGGGCGTGAACTTTTCCCAGAAACTGGCGAGAACGCCCTTTTCAGGCCCGGAACTTTTGACTTTGGCCAGCAAAGGTTGTGTATTCTTGTTCCGGTCTCGCAATTCCCACAATTCTCTCATTTCAGGGTCTATTTCGGATGCAGAAAAGCACTTTTGGTAGATCCAGTCGGCTTCTCTTGTCGTATAGTCCGTCACGCGGATTCTATGCTCTGTTTGCTGATAGTCCAAGCTCGCTTCGTCCGTGGTGGTGCCGTTGCTGACTTTGGTATCCAGAAAAAAGTCTCGAGATTCCAAACTCCGTAAGACACGCTCACTCTTGGACCGGTAGTAGTCCACCTCTCCGTCATTCAAGCTGCTTGCAGTAGAAGAGCGGATGGCGCTTGGATCTGTATTTGCAAGATGAGCTTGGACAGGGACTTGCTTGAATTCGAACTCATTGAGAAAACTAGCACGAGAGGCATTGATGTTCTCCACTTCCGCCTTCTCTTCTGTAAGTGATATTTTGTGTACCTTCACAGCGGCCAATATGGTGATGACAAGACAGTAGACGAGTTTCACAATGTAAAAAACCACAAAGATGAAATGGATGGTCATCTGGGCATATGCCACGTAAGTGCGGTGGGCCTCGGAAACTTCGAGCTGGCTCAAATATGGAATATTGAGCACTGTCACAAGAAATCTGCAGACGTGCATAAGCGCTGGCACCGAGTGCCATGTCAACGCCAAAAAGTGTGGTCGTATGGTCAAGAGCAAGGTGAGCATCGTGAATTGGAGAACAATCATGAGCACCACCTGCGCCGTTGGATAATTCTGAAGAGCGGCAATGATAATCAGGGAGAAGGTGCATCCAAAGATGTCCACTGCCACGTAGTAAACCTTGGACGGCTTGTACACGTTGTACAAATATGCCCATGTGACAATGGCTTTGACCGACGTATATAGCTTTGTCACGTTTTGCTTAGGGTGTCCTCGGATCAGAACGGGCACCACATAGTAGTACAAGAATAGAAACACCGAGCCAAACCACGCAACGAGTGCCATCAGTCCAAAAGCTATACTTAACGTGGGAATCCCGCTCCTCTGCTTAGAAAAGTCCAACTCTGTTGCTCTCACTTCAATTGAACTGAGTCCCAGGCTTTTGGACTGATGGTTCAAAATGCCGTATGGAATGGTGGCAGAAAACGCGTTTTGCTCGTTCAACTTAGCAGCCTCTTGGAAGAGGCTGTCCAGGCTTGAGGCCATGGATAGCATGTAGATCGTTAGCACCAAAAACGGCAAGCCAAAAGTAGTGAGGACTTCACGGAGGAGATTTCCCAACAAAGCCCACATGTTTGTTCTCCACGAGTATCGGAAGCTCGTGGCCAGAGATTCGTTTTCTGTCGCCACATAGCTGCTTGCTGGAAGATGGCCAAAGCATTTGCGTAATATGGATGGGGAGCGGTGACTCTGAGCCAGCACCTTCATGAATATGAAGGCCTGGTAGCCTGCCAGGCCCACAGCGGTCCAGATGAGTAAGCACAAAATAAAGTTAGGCCAGCTGTATTGGTAATAGCCATTTGGATTGTACTGTGCCAAGGCTTTGAGCCCATTGTAGTAGGTCTTGTAGATGTTATCCAGATCTGGCGAAGGTATGGACGTCCACTTGTAGAAGATGTTTATGCCAAGAAGGGCACACCACCTGATTCTCCCCATCAAGTAGTGGAAGAACCCTGGGTACTGTATATTCAAGCCGCTCATGAAAAGAGCAAACTGCAAGTAGGAGACGAGCGCAAGCGGCGTTGCCTCCAACTGCTTCAAGAGCCCCTCATTGCAGATTGCCGAGGCCTCGATCAAAAACGGGTTCTGTGACTACTGGTCGGGAGAAGACACGGTGATCAAGAAATACATCGCAAACGAGCATATGCACACGCTCAAGATGCCATAGAATAGCAAGTACTCTATGCTCTGAGACCTTACCGAGGATGTCACGTATCCTATACCGCTTCCAATGATATTGGACTCCTCGTTGTTGGAAACAACCGAGAGTCTGACCGAGTACGACCCGAATTTCTTGTAGTTCTGGCTGACGTCTGCCTGGTAATAAAATGCAATCGAGTCGTTCACGTACAATGGGCACAGAAGCCCGTCGCCCGTTTTGTTCGCAAATAGTGCTTCCACAGAAGCGTTTGAGCTTGCCATCGAGGCGCTTGGTGCAGAGGAATTGAAAAGTAGATTGCCACTGCCCTCAGACAGATTGAGACCCTGCACGTGCAGCGCGTCATCTATCACATTCCGACCGTCCACCACGTCAGAGTCATCCATGGCATTTGCTTCATCTATGGCATCTGCTTCATCCATGGCATTGGCACTATCGATGGCATTGGGGACGTATCCAGGGATGTCTGGATTTGCCAATCCTGTAGCCACGGCGGTGGACAGGGAAGCCGAGGACGAAGAGAGCCCATCAAAGCGGTATGTGTCTTCCAAGCGCGAGGTGTTCTTCACCATCAAAACATCGCAAAAGCGCAAGTTCTCATCAACAAAAGTCGAGCCCATAAAGTCGATTTCAACATGAAGCGTCGTGTAGCGGTTTGTGGCTGCGTTGACGTCCGAGATCACCGGGGCTGTTGTCGAGGCGTTTTGCCAGTGGACCACTTTGGAGTTGATGAGGAACTTCATCAACTGGAGTTCTTCATCGAGAGCAACAAACACAATTAGTGGGTCTAGTGCCACTGCTGTCTGGTTGGTGTGGGCAAAGCTGTTGATTCGTATAAACCCTCCTAGAACCGATCGTAGGAGAGACACATAGACAAGGAGCGCCAAGCTTCGTAGGAACATTTTGAGATCTGTCAGCAGAATGGGTCTCAGGCCAGACTTGGATGTAAGCAAACTAGCGTCGAGGCCCTTCTCATAAAACCCGGAGTTACAGAATGAGTCTACTTGAGTTGGGGCGCACAAAATGGGTCTGGGGTCTGGGAGAAAGAGCCGCTGTGTCCTCGTGTGCAGGCTTTGTTTGGGCACCCAATGTGAAGCTTACCTTGTGAACTGTACAGTTTAAGTTTCGTGGTCCAACGAGTCTAATGCATAGCCCACCAGGATGGGAAAAAATGTGCGACTGTTAATTGGGAGGCGCATGGAAAAAGAAGGATGCGCGTGCGCCGCAGCGTGCAGCCATCACGCGACAAAAGAAGAAACCGGCAGGAGTCTTGGGCCAGCAAAATGCGGGTTCTATTCTTTTTGGGGAGCGAAGACGCGTACCAAGGCATCTCCTCGCATCAAGTACGAGTGATCTCTGAATCAGATGTGGAGGACCGCATGTTTCTGTGTATGTGGGGGCTTTGGTTGCTGCGGGGCAGCCAGGCGGCCCTGTATCCAAGGGGCGCTGAGCTGCAACGATCACCGAGTTTTTCCGGCGCGCGGTGCCTGAGTCGCAAGGTGTGCATGGGTTTTTGCGGCGTGTACGGAATGCGCTAATGAGAGATGGTCACAATGGAATGTGAAGGCGGGGTTCACCAACGCACGCCAGTCATCCATGGCATACGGGGCAACAAGAATGGATTGAAAAAGAATAAGTGGCAAGCTTTGTGGTGGTAGTCAGATGAGTTTTTGGTGGGCTTTCATGGACACTCCGGGGACTGTGTTTAATATGCTCTGTCTTGAACTATCTCATCAGGAGCACCCGGCGGGTCGCCTCAATTCTCAGATTTGATGTGTGTCAATATGTTTGCACTTCATGTGCTTTTCCTAAATTAGCATTTGTCTTTAATGATCGCGGTGTGTGTCTCTCCAGAACGCATGAGCGAGACATCCTGATAGCTTTTTCCAAACTGAAACTTTCCCCTTCGCCTGGGTCGATTCCAACTGTCCGGTGTTCCATCGGACATCTATTACTAGTAACTCTCATGGCTTGGTTAACTCTATGTAGGATGGCAAAAGAAGTCAACGAATGATGGACGGTAGAGCAAAGGACGGTTATATTCGGGAAAAGTGGCCTGGGCAGAAATCGACACGTATTCGACAAAAATGCGCTCCTAAGTATTTTTTGCGGCATAAGTCTTTTTTATTAAGACTCCGTTATGTAACTCCTCTTTTGACGAACTACATAGAAGTAGGTGAGCCAAGTGAGAACTATCAGTCTGACGAAAACAAGAAAGTTCAGTGTGTCCAGCTGTCTCTAATTGAGTCTTTGACGTGAAAGAAGAATGTACATCGCTAAAACATATTGTTGTTTCAATTGTTATTCTGTCAACGAAAGACCTGGAATGTCTCGCCAGCAGCGCGTGTCTGAGAAATGTCTCAAGCACAGTCTTGATGTGGCTCGCTGAAGTGAAATTTAGGTCTCTGGGTCTGAGAATTCTAAAATTGGCACAACACCCCACTTCTGAGAGCAACTTAAGATGGCTCGTAACCATGTAAATACCTCACCCCAGACGGACAATAAATCCCCGTGGGAATTGCAAGGATCTTTTTGTATAGGGAATCTCGAGCGAAAATCGACCGCCTCTAGAAAATCAAAAATGGATCTCGATGTTTGCATTTTCTATAGGCATATCCTTTGTGTAGAACAGGTAATTCTGCCTCTTGCTGCAGAACTAGAGCGTTTGGGGTGTATTTGGGGATTTCAGATGTTACAATTCACAGTTAAACTACGGATATCCAGGGCATTTGACTGCTATTCTGTTGGCAGGTGGTATTAAAGACAGCAGAATAATTAATTGTGAGTTTATGCTGAAAAATCTCGGAAATAAAAACATACCAGTCCTATTTTGGACTAGACGTGTTCTCAAACATTCTCAACCCATGGAATACAAACAAATCGATTAAGCGAGCTAGACTAAAAATATGAACTCGACTGGAAAATGAGGTTGCAGTTGAAGTCCGCTATTGTTCTTATGCGACGTCGTACATAATGCACAAGTTTCTCGATCTCCCTTTTTAGCAGATTTTACATTTAACATGGCTTTCAGGCCAGAATTTTTGCTTTTTCTGTGAGAAAAATAAAAGAATAAGCCTTCTTCATTCATATTATACATTACTTTGAGATGAACGCATAATTGGGCAAATTTTTTGAGATTAAATCATAATCTTTTCAAGCAAGTGATTTTGATTACACGGTGCGTGGCTTTGTTTTGTTCTTCCTTGGACTAGCTATTGATCTTGCGGATTCTTTGAACTACATACTCATTAGTTTTTGTCGGAAACTTCTCATAATTCCTGGGTCTTAGAGACCTACATGTTTCGCTCAGATTCTCCTTTTACCCCACAATGATATTCCAGAGCCTTTTGTTTTGGTATTTTTTTGGGCAGTTTTACTTTTTCTGGTAGATTCGCCTGATGAAAGGAACAAAAATGTACAATATTATATGTAAACCTCTAAATAGCTCGCAATACGTACCTAGTGTCGGAATTCGGCCCGTCCCATTCTGTTAACACGGCCTTGACGGTCCCAGGCATCTATTCTCGTGTTGGGTATTACTTCACCAGCTTCTAGAACAAGCTTCCTGTAGTAATCATTCAACTCGGAGCCAATATTAATTTTTAAGCTCATGGAAAGAGACATCTTCTTATAAGGTGCCACCGAAGGGATGTGAAACCTCACCACTAACAAAAAACTCTAAAGTTAAAACCTATAGCAGATCGCAACATTAGATCAGGTAAGAAGGCGCGAGCAACAATTCACGAAACATCCCAGAGGATGTGCCCTCAAAAGACTTCTGCCCAAATCCAATGTCAGTCACTTAAATAAAATTAAGTGAATGTCATCGTCCCATGGAATAGTTTTTCCTGGGGCTCGTGACCATAGCTCATTCGACAAGTTGTAAAGATGTACTTTTGTCTTTGCCTCCTGGTTCCTAAGCAAATAAACCCTGCGAACGGCTTTAACAAACCAACCAAGGTAGATTGTCAAAGGAAGTATTTAAAGGAGCGAGCATCTCCCTTACGTGCATTGGAGCTTAAAAGACAATCTTTTGCCATGAAAATTGCACAATCTCACACTCAATGTAGAGGTGGGTCTGATCGCTATAACCGCTTTTCAAACACAACCTGCAATCGAATCTTGACGTCCCCACTTCAATATCATGAAAGGGCGCATAGGAGCCGTGACTAAATAGATGGATGGCTGTGAGATCTTTTTTGCACAAACGTTTTTGTTTGTATGATTCGTTCCAAAATTTTCGCCAGCGTTTCACCGTCTTCAATTGAATCCTAAGAAAATCACAAGGAAACATCCCGGGGAAGTTCTTCCTGTTTGCGCCGGCTCAATGAAAGAAACGCCGTTCCTTGTATTGCTTCAATCTCATGCGATTCTATATGAATGCTGCCCGGATGAGGCCGAGTAGACATTGTCTAGTTGGTGTACGCATAGAGTTGTTGCTCCGTCATCGTACTTAACACCGGTCGTTGAAAGTCGCGAGTTCTGGGAATAATCTTCTTCCAAGCTTCGAGATAGTGACATTCATTGGGAGTGAACATCCATTGTGAGCGTGATTGAACTTTCCGGTGAGAATTTTCATTCAAAATACAGCAATTTTTGCAGGACTGAGCACGTATAATTTCAGATACAAGTATGTTTGCAATTACTACAAGGCAAACAAACCCAAGACACCATCAGAAGCGGGTTTAGCTCAGTTGGGAGAGCGTCAGACTGAAGATCTGAAGGTCCTGTGTTCGATCCACAGAAATCGCATTCTTTTTTGTAAATTTTACTACGCAGTTTGGAAAGCTTTAACTTGTTATTTTTATCCCTCGCCTATTTACGGAAAGATTGCATTGGAGGAATACTTCTCATATATTAACAAATGCGTGCCAAGAGGACTGCTCAGGCCGTGATAAATGTAAGGGGACGGGCCGCGTTTGGTCACTAGGTAGGTATCTAGGAGCTGTTTAAAGTTCACTCATATCTGGAAGTTTTATTCTTTCACTCAAATGAATCTACCAAGAAATGTCCGGGTTACACGTTGTGTCTCGTAGCTGTGTCATTCATCTATTTACATTGCCGCACCCATGCGAAAACTAATCGTTCACCTTCTTGAACTTGGAGTACAATCTCTGGGCATGATAATTCATTGGGTTTGGTGGTGGCGTCACGGGTTTGTGTGTCTCCATACATGTCTTCAAGTCTTGTGCAAAAGCTGAGCACTGTGCTGCTCCCTCTCCGTTGGCTGCCCAGCAGTTCAAAAGAGACGACATCAATAAAAAGCACGGGTTGTTTGCCTGAGCCCGAGAAGTCTTCTTGAATTTCAACCTTGGCAACTTTGGCAAGGCCATCGGCTGGGCCACCTTTTTGTATGGCATGGTCGTCGATGGTTCTGATGGAGGTTGGTACAGATAGACAAGCGAAAAATTTTGATATTATTGAGTAGTGCGAGTATCGGATTTGTCGCGTTTCCATGTAGGAACCCGTTGGCATCAGCGCACTCATACATCATGGAAAGTAGCTTTGATTGGAACCTATCTCTTCTCTCCGTTTCGGTATCGGTGCTTCTCAATTAGCTTCTTTTGACTTGCGTTTGAGATGACGGGGAGTTGTGACCCAAATTGCCTTTCACGCTAATGTTAGAGTCTACAAGTCTGTTGCCTGTGCCACCTCAATATACTGCGACTGTGTGCGCTCCAGAGGCTTTCGATTTCTCGGATCAAGTCTCGCAGGTCTCCTTAACCAGTATATTCTCGCAAAGCTGCTATCTTTCATTTGCTTGTGGGTCACTGCGTGCACGTGCTGAGGTACTTTGACTCGGTCCTTGAATATCATAGGCACTAGCGTATCATTGATCAACAGCTTAACTAGCGCTTGCGTTTTGTCCAAGAACGCCCGTCTGTCGGCGGGCAGTTTGTACTTGATTCTTGTGAGAGAGTCGATTTGTTCGATCAAGTTGAGCATGATCATCTTGTGTAGGTGTCTTTTGAGGCTCGTGCGGTGCTTGACTGTCGTGAATAACGTGCCGTAGAAGGGGATTAAGTCAAAGAACTTCAACGCATACTTGAACGTGGGCCCGGTGTACTTAGTGGAATATGGGGATTTCGAAACGAGCAAGTACTCATTTCTTTTGAGCTCCCCGCTGAAACTCAGAAAAAGCGACATGGTACTGCGGGTGATTTCCGACGAAAGCGCTTTCTGCAAGCTGAAGACTTGCTCTTCTATTTTTGCCTTGAGGCTCTCCAGTAAATGTTCCAAGGTGTTGTAGTCATCTATGTCTCTGATCATGATGGGCTTTCCCTCCATCAGCAAAAGATCCTCAGGAGAGTTGGGCTTGACATCGTGTGGCATTAATGTTTCTTCGAGTGCATCGTCTTCCATGAAGTTCACCTCCTTTTTGTGAATCGGTATCTTGGTTTCAAAGGGCCTGGAATCTTCAAGGAGCTCCACCGGAAACTGCGGACCCTGCTTCTTATCTAGAAAAGCGTGCTTCCCGGTTTGAAGTGGGACTCCGGCTAGACTGCGGTCAAACCCCACTACATTGTACTGAAATATACCCTCGAAGGCCAGGTCCAAAGGCAGCATTTGCCTCTTCTGGTCACGGCGCGCAAATTTGCACATGTCTGTGAGTTTCTTGTTTCTGACCGCAAGTAGACTCTTGGTGTTTATGGCAAGTCTCTTTTTGTACTTGAAATGGACCCCCGGGTCGTTGTCCAACTCTTTGAGAACACCGTAAACGCGCTCGATCTCGTCCCAGGGCGTCTTGATTACATCGATTTCTTCAGGGAGGCTGTTGATCGCAGCAATTCTTCGGAACACCAGGCCCGACCCGCTGCCACCAAACTGCCTTCCCGAGTCCAAGTATTCCTGGAACTTGATGTCGTCTTTCCCCATGTATCCTATTTGAAATGAGCTCTCTTCTATTTCTTTCGCATGTTGGTCTACAAAGTCTTCAAGAGAAGTTTGTGTATCAGACAGTTGCGGAAACACCTCCACTTCATTGACGGAGTTCTTTCCAGTGTTCTCTTCGCCAACTTTGCCTTTCAGAAGAAAGCTCCCAAGGTTCTTGAGCTGGACCTTGTTTTTATTTTTCGTGTGAAATCGACTCAGAGAAAAGCTCCGCGTCGAGACTCTGGCGCCAGGAATCCATAGTCTATACGAAACTGGCGGGATCATATCCTTGAGTGGCGTTCTCGGACCTGCGGTGTCTACATGTTCCGGGGCCAGATATCTATGCTGAGGTGTACGGGTGTGTATGACGTGCACACCAGTAGTGCGAGCTCGGCCCAAAAAAAAAGCCCGGGGTTTGTGCGAAAGGATCGTGTGGGGCGGGGCGGTACTTTATACCCAAACCTCAAACAGTTTTGCAGCCACAGACATACACATTTCTGGTACGAATGACAGCTATCGTCCAAGTATTTGTGAAACCCACAAGTGCAGCCATAGTCTCATAAACTCAGACTCTATGGTCTTGCACACACGTGCCCTGCAGTTTGTGCTCGAGACCGTGGGTGTAATCTACAAAATCAAGCTCAAATAACCCAACCATTGAATCACCAAAACTAAGCGTAGAAGAAAGATAAAGAAGAAAAACAAAGGAAATATGCAACTTTCTCCAGCGCCACCCCCCCCCC